ATCTAAGGCAAGATCTCATAAATAAGTGTGGTAATGATCAGGTCATTTGTTTTAGTCACATTGAATGAGGGATACTTTTGGATGGAACTCCAGGATAATTCCCTTGTCTTTCTTCAAACCACTGTCAGAGAACTTTCATATTCATCTGAAACAGGAGACAGGGCTTCAGTTTAACAGCTAATCTAGAGATACCTCCTCTGGAACAACCCTGTAGGGTCAACCTAGGTTTGTTTGTGCTCAAACCACTGGAGTGAGACTTGAACTACAACCCACTGACTCAGAAATGAGAGTGCTACCAAATGAGCCATGGTTGAAACTTAAGTAAAAGAATCCTACTTTGGAAAAGTAAAATACCATGAAATTTTCCACTCTCTGGATATCTACAAAAAGTCCTAAATTCATATTCCACAGGACATGTACACCACCTTTTATAAAATGCACTCTCAGGATTTGGCAATCACAAAAAGACCAGAATTTGTTGCCTATCCGTAGTCATCCTTGAGAAGATGGTAGTGAGTTGCATTCTTTCCCTGTCAAGTGGTTAAGTGCTCTGTCAGTGCGTTTGGGGGGAACTTCATTGTTGCTAGAATCAAAAACCTTGAATTCTTAATGCAAATTTTTTACTGTGGATAAGAAATGGTGTGCACATTACTCAAGCTGTTTAATGATTTCTGTGTCTGAATTCACTTTACAGAGTGAAAAGGGAGGCATTGTGATGGTGAACTTCTACAATGACTATGTCACCTGCAAGCCTACAGCTAAACTTTCCGATGTGGCAGGTCAGTAGTTACATTATGCTCTCAAGTTAAATTGTCTTTGTTAAAATAAACATTTGCTATTGAACGAGAGTTTAACGTAGAACTATAGGATCAGGCAATGGCTGTACATCTTTTCTGTTATTGAATGATATCTTGCTTAATCTGGATTCAACTTCACTAGCCCGCCTTAGATCTATATCTATTAATACCCTTGGCTGGTAGAAGTTTGTCCATCTCAGATTTAAAATGGTTAATTCTCCTAGTATCCACTGCTTTCTGTAGGAGAGAGCTCTGCAGTTCTAACACTCTGTATCACTCAGGGTTATGGCACAGAGAAGGCCATTTGGCCTGTTGTGTTCATGCTGTTTTCTGAAGGAGCAAAAGATATGCTTGTTTCAGGGGTTCCGATTAAAGGCCATTGATTTGAAAAGTTAATGCTGTTTCTTTCTCCAAAACTGCTGTCTGACTTGCTGAGCATTTCCAGAAATTCTTACTTTCATTTCAAGTTTCCAATGTTTGTAGTATTTTTCTTTTGTATTAACCATATTATATTGCTGCGGTAGGTACAGTATCAAGTCTCTAATTTTGTGGAAAATTTACTTTAAATGGTAAACATTTCTTAGGAAAGAATGCTGCTGAAATTGAAGGATAAAAGTGTAATAAGACAAAAAGAAAAAACAAAATGTGTTCCAATCACAATTTAAAACAAAAGTCTAAAGATCAGATTGAAAGTAATTTTTTCCTTTTAGTGCAGGTTTTCAGAGCTTACTTGATTTCACATGAGCACCAGTCACAAAAGTACAGTGACTTTGGCTGACAATGCCACTTTCTGAATAGCAGAAACTAAATTTGCTTTTGTGTGAGAGTAGAGGAACACACCAGTCATGTGTTGTATGTATAAGGGTCTAGGCCCGAAACGTCAGCCTTCCTGCTCCTATGATGCTGCTTGGCCTGCTGTGTTCATCCAGCTCTACACCTTGTTATCTCTGTTGTATGTATACCTTGCTTTTAAGACAGTTCACCTTTAAGTATCTCATGTTTAGAGGAGATGTGAGGAAAAACTTTTTTCACCCAGAGGGAACCTGGAACTCAGTGCCTGTAAGGTAGCAGCAGAGACCCTCATGACATTTAAGAAGTATTTAGGTCTGTATTTGTGATGCCAATTCATATGGACAAGTGCTTGAAAAATAGGATCAGAATAGTTAGGTAGTTTTTCTTGACTGGTATGGACGCGATGGGCCTTCTTCTGTGTTGTAAATCTCTGTGACTCTATAACTCCCTAAAGATATGAACCACAGTAGGAGACTAATTCGGATTCAGATTAAATGTTTGCATCCATTGAACAGAATTCATTCCTTTTATACAAAAGCCTACAACATCCATAAACCACTAGATAAGCAGGTTTGGAGAAAACGGCTCATTATGTGATTTTTCATATGGGGAGCTAGCAAATAGAATTGTTCAGTTGGTGATTGCATCCCTCCCACTGCCTCTTCCTTGGAAGCTTTCTAGAAAGATTTACTAAACAACCCAAGAATTTATAGCATCGAAGTGCTACTGAAGGATGGATTAAGTATGTAGCCTAGTCAACCAAGCTTCCTAGTCCTAAGTACAAACCTGACAGTTGGCACAATCACTAGTACATTTAACAGAGGAAGACGTGGAAGGTGTGGCCTTCTGCATGCACCAAAAATGCCCAAAAATTCAATCAATTTTGCAAGGCATGTGGCAGAAAAGCCCATTGGCAGAGCCAATGCAACAGAACAAGGATGGCTACAATGAGCCACGGATGGACCCAGACAAGCTGTGCACAATGAATACTTTCAAACTCCAATAAAGACCATTTTGTGTCCCATCAGAGGTGTATACATGGAGTAATTAACAAACCAGAATCTGATGATGTAGACATAAGTCAAAGAATGGTTAATAAATGTTTCACAATGTCCTGCAGAAAACACTGCTTTATTCTGATTTAGTGAGGCTTAGATCTCAACTCTCTGCTGTGGAGACAGATATGAAAGTACAAGAAGGAAGAAACTGAGCAACTTGCCCAGGATAAATCCAAAATTGAAAATACTAATTCTGAAATAATGAAGTCTTTATGGGATACCTCTGCTTAGCTCACAAAAATGAATGAAGAGCTGAAAGAGAAAGGAAGGGAGCAGGAGGAACTAGAAGCTGTGTATCATCAATCCAATGAAAGGGTCGTTGTTTTCAGGAAAATTGGGCCTGCTCACACTTACAATGAATTGTCTCAACGAGAACAGTTACAGAAACATTGGCTTGAATTCAAAGCAATGCTGGACAAAATGATAGACCTGCAAAAACAGCACACACAACAAGGAGCTGCATATTTCACATGAGATAGTCTGAGCAGAAATTAATGCCAGTAATGATATTCCTGCGAAAAAAAACTCAAGCGGTACCTAGAGAAAACCAACAACCTGAAGCAACAAGTGGAATAGGTCTAGACTTCCAAGAAAACAAAAAGGAAAACAAGTTGAAAGGCTGGCCAGTTATTATAGCAGGTTATTAATAAAAAAAATCAGATCAACAGAAGACTAAAACTTTGACAGAGTTAGAAAATGCAGAGTGTAAAACCAGAAGCTTTTAAAATGAGCTGGCATTTCTTACAGAACAGTACTGTAAATGCTAAAAATATTTGAACAATTCAAATAGCTTGAGAGTGAATTAGATCAGTGAACAGCAACTGCAATCCATGAAAGAAAAATTTGACAAAACAAGCAGGAATGACGGATAGTATCACTAATGACTGTGGAAATCAACTACACCTCCAAACAAAATCACTGTCACGAAATCTGAACTGATTTCCTACAGATTACAGAAACAATGGACTCAGTTTTTATTCTAAATAGAGCATCTTTCTTTTGGATAGGAGGGGAATGTAAAATGTCTGCTTTGTTTTTAAGACAGTTCATCTTTAAGGAATATATGTTTTTGCATATACAATGTTGTGGCTCTGCATTGCAATTAGTGTGCTTTGGGTCTGCAAACAGCAGAAAAACCAGAAACAAAACCAAAAATTGCTGGAAAAGCTGAACAGGACTGGCAGCATCTGTGGAGAGAAATCAGAGTTGACATTTCAGGTCAAATGACCCTCTATCAGCAGAAAAAAAACAGTTGATTTGCTGCAATGCCTGCTTCATAACTTGTAATAAGTTGTACTGTTTTAAATAAATTAACTCATGAAATTAATTATGAAGTTTAATCAATCACTGAAGCATAATTTACTACACCATTATGACTATTGTGACAGTGGAGGTGAAACAGAACCCCGTCCTATCTGTTTTTTCGCATACCGAACAGGACAACAAACTCCAATCTTGACTCCATGCCCAAGCCCTGCCTAATGTACATCTGACACCATTTTGCCTCAGATAAAGAGTTAACCATACAGGATGTCTGAAAGAGGCATCACATCCATTGTATATGCTAACATTATGTGTAATGCCTTCTTCATGACCGCATTTTGAAATTTGGCCAAGCATGCAGAGATTTTTTGCTTTTGTTTTTCTCTGTAGCCTAACCAGCCCCCTGAAAGATGCATTCAGGCCACCCTAAAAAGATGCATTTTTAAAATTTTAACTTAACAGACACTTTTTCTTTAGAGTGTAGGAGACTGACGAGGCACCTAACAGAAATGTATAAGATCATGAGATGCGTGGATAGGGTGAATGCACTCAGTCTTTTTCCCAGGGTTGGGGAACCAAGGACTAGAGGACATCAGTTTAAGGTAACAGGGGAAAGAATACATGGGAACCTGAGGGGCAACTTTTTTTTACACAGTGGGTGGTATGCATATGGAATGAGCTGCCAGCTGAAGTGGCTAAGGCGGGTACATTAACAACATTTAAAAGGCATTTGGACAAATGTGGATAGGAAAGGTTTAGAAGGATATGGGCCAAGTGCAGGGAAATGGGGTTAGTGTGGATGGACATTTTAGTCAGCATGAACCAGTTTGGGCCAAATATCCTGTCTCCATGCTGTAGCAATATATGACTCAATGCCATAATTATGTCCAGTTTTGTCCCTTTTTGAAACTTTTTTTCTAAATTAATATATTTTAAAACAGCATAACAGAGACATTGGGCCTGTTTGAATTTTAAGTGAATAAAGACAAAAATATTCTAATATTTTATCCTATTTTCTGTTGTAATGGTGTCATGATACAGATGAAACATTTAAATTTAAATATTGATCATAAAGTCTTTGCAAGGATTAAATACAATTTTATGTCAACCTTTTTCTATTAACTCAAGCAGTTATTTTCTGGGGTTTTTTAAATCACTTATCAGCTTATTTATTTGGTTACATGTCTAATTATTTTTGTATTCGTCTGCTGCAGTCTATGTAGCGATAGTCGTCCCACAGTTCTGTTACTCCAGGCAGAGATTTCATCAGCAGTATCTGGCAGGAAGCTTTAACACATCACATTCAGTTTTCTCAAATTTTGAATTCAACTGTTACATTTATTGTAATGCAGTTCAAACATTGCTAAAAACAAAGTCATGACTTCTAAATTGTTTCTCCAGATCATTTTGACCACATCAAAAAGATTGCTGGTTACCAGAGTGTAGGATTTGGTGGTGATTACGATGGCGTTTCAAGGTAATACTTGATATCACTCTAGCTACTACGCTTCTACTAATCTGTAAATCATTTGCATCTGCCTAAACTATTTGCAAGGCACATCAATGACTTGGATGAGGGGACCAAACGTATGATTGCTGGTGACACAGGGATAAGTAGGCAAGTAAGTTTTGAAGATCACATATGGAGTCTTCAATGGGAAATAGGTTAATTGACCAGGCAAAAAGTTGGTAGATGGATTATAATGTGGAAAAATGCGAATTTATCCACTTTGGTAGGAAGAATAGAAAAGCAGCACATTACTTAAATAGAGAGTGATTGCAGAACTCTAAAGTGCATAGAAATCTGAGTGTTCTGCTATATGAATCACCAACATTTAGCTTTCAAGTACAAGTCATCTGGAAGGTAAATGGAAGGTTGTTATTTGTTGCAAGGGATCTTTAAGAGTAGTGATGTTTTTCAACAAATGTACGAGGTATTGGTGAGAACATGTCTAGTGTGTAGAGCTTTGCTCATATTATACAAGAAAGGATATAGTTGATTTATAAACAGTTGCAGGTAGATTTACTCAACTGATCTCTGGAATATGGGTTTTATCTTATAAGGAATGATTACACAAGTTGAGACTGTATCCATTGGTGCTTGGAATGATTAGCCTATATCTCTCAATACCATTGGCCATGTGTAAAGTGCTCCTCTGAAGCAAGAAGAGAATAAGACCATAAGACATAGGAGTAGAAGTAGGTCATTGAGTCTGTTCCTCCATTCAATGGGATCATGGCTGATCTAATAATCTGCATCTTTCCTTTCTGGATTTATCTATGGAATGGTTGATTTCCTTACTGATTTAAAATCTATCTGTTCCAATCTTGAGTATACTTAGTGACTCAGCTTTGACAGCCCTCTGCAGGAAAGAATGCCAATTTCATGATTGTCTGAAAGAGGATATTCCTCCTCATTTCTGTCTTAAATGGGTGATCCCTTACTCTTGAATTCTATCCTACGGTTCTAGACTCTCCCAAAAAGGGAAGCAACCTCTCCACGTCTACCATGTCAAGTCCCAAAACAATCTTATGTTTCAATTAGATCACTTCTCATTCTTCTGAACTCTAATATGCACTAGCCCAACCTAATCAACCTCTCATCAAAGGAAATCCCTCCAGATGCAAGATCAATGTATGAACCTTCTCCAGCCTAACTCCAATACAATATATCTTGGCTTAGATAATAGGACCAAAACTGCTCACTAAAACTCTAATCTGTCATCTAGCTAATGCCTTGTAGAGTTTAACAAGACTTCTCTGTTTCTATTATCTATTCCCTTTGAAATAAAGGCCAATATTCCATTCACCTTCCCTCTTACCCACTGAACTAGTATGCTTGTTTTTTGTGATTTATGCATGATGATTTGTAAATCCCACTGTGCCCACTGCTTTCTGCAGTCTTTCTCCATTTAAATAATATTCACCTTCTTTGTTCTTCCTGCCAAAGTTCCTAACCTAACATTTCCGCACATTGTATTCTATCTGCCAATTTTAGCACATTAACATGTCTATATTCCTCTGGACACTCATTGTGTCATCCTCACCACTAGCCTTCCTACCTATTTTTGTGTCATCAACACACTGGACTGTAGTACATTCACTTTCTCCATGCAAGCCATTGATGTATATTGTAAGTAAATATAGCCCCTGCACTGATCAGTGTGGCATTCCAGTAGTCACAGGTTGCTATCTTGAAAATGTACCCCTTCTCCCAACTCTCTGTCTTCTATTAGTTAGCCAATCTCCAATCCATGTTAATATATTACCCCAAAACCATAGACTCTTATCTTATTAAGTAGCTTTTGGAAATCCAAATATATTACACATACTAGTTCCCCTTTATCTATCCTGCTTGTAACCTCCTCAAAGAATTCTAATAAATTTGTGAAGCATGATTTCCTCTTCATGATACCATACTAACTCTGCTTGATTATATTACATGTTTATAGATTCTTTCCATTACATCCTTTATAATAGACTAACATTTTTTCTTATAACAGATATTAACCCAACTGACCTATTATTTTGTCTCCCTCCCTTTCTAAATAAAACATTGGCAGTTTTACAATCCTCTGTGACTCTTCCAGAATTTAAGAATTCTTGGAAATTACAACTAGTGCACTCTATGTAGCCAGTTCCTTTGAAAACCTATCATGTAACCCATCAGGTCCAGGAGGTTTATCTGCTTTCAGCCCCAATAATTTCCCTGTACTTTTTCTCTAGTGCTAGGTATGTATTTATTTCTTCTCCTACTTTTTTCCCTTGATTATCTAGCATTTTTCTACTTGTTAGTAATAATGGTGTCTTCTATTATGATGACTAATGCAAAGTATTTAATCAGCTCCTTTGCCATTTCATGGTTCCCCATGATTATTTCTCCAATCTCTTTCTCTAAGGGCCCTATATTCACTTTGACCTCTCTCTTCCTTTTAATCCAATCAAGGAAGTTCTAGCTTTCTATTTTAATTATTTTCTTTTTTATTTGGTACTACCCTTAACTTCATTGCTTAACCATTATCCACTCCCTAGAACCCTTATGGAATAATAGAGTATTATAGCACAGAAAGAGTCCCTTCAACCCATCATGTTTGTGCTGGTCCTCAAGCACCTATCAACTCATCCCATTTCCCAGCATTTGGCCCGTAGCCTTTTATGTAATGATGTTTCAAGTGTTCATTGAAATACTTCTTAAATTTTGTAATACTTCCCAGCTCTATTACTTTTTAAGGCAGCGAGTTCCAGATACCCATCAACCACTGGGTGAAAGAAATTTTCCATAAATCTTCTCTAAACCTGCCGCCCCTTATCTTTAATCCATGGTAATTGATCCCTCTACTACAGAGAAAAATTTATGCCCCTTATAATGTTGTGGATCTCAATCATTACCTGTAACCTTGTTGGGAGACATCTTCATTGTGAATCTTGACTATCTTCTTAAATACCTGCCACTTCTTCTCATCCAATTTTTCTGCTAAACTCCTTTCCCTGTCCACTCCAGTCCTCATTCTTCTGTGTTTACCCTTATTTAGTATTAGCATAGTTGTTTCAATCCAAATTTCACACACTCAAACTGAATGCTAAATTCTACCATGTTATGGTCACTGTTTCCTAGGGGATCTTTTACTGTTAGATATTTTCTTAAAACTGCCTTATGACAGTTTCCTAAATAGCCTCGTCTTTCGCTGGAAAAATAATAAGTTCCTTTTTGTCCATAAATTATTCAAATACATTGTTGAAAAATATAAGCATTGAATTGATTAGCTTTCAGCTCTTTCATTGTAAGGTGCATATGGACACATCCTCACGTGATACTGAGGCATAAAGAGAACAATCCAATTTCCGGGGATGTGGTAAGCAACAGGGACACTGCAGATGGTCTTCATGTCCCTAGGCTAGGTAGGGGGAAAATCAGCCAAAAACTTTCTACCCTGGTTGGAAAATATGCATGCATGTCAACAGCAAGTATGACCTGATTGAACTACCACACCATCAAGTGACCTGATTACAGTTTTCTTTGTTTCACTTGAAGACTTCCTGAAGGTTTAGAGGATGTCTCCTTCTATCCAGATTTAGTAGCTGAACTACTGAAAAGAAATTGGACTGATAAAGATGTGAAAGCAGCTCTTGGAGGAAACTTCCTACGAGTCTTTGAGCAAGTGGAACAGGTGAGGATTACTTAGCATTCACGACTTCAAAAAATGTCTTCATGACCTTTATTTTGAGAAACTTACCTTTAAAATACCTGGCTCTTATGCTGACTAGCTGGAGCTCAGCATCAGACTGAACCAATTGACCAACCCCCACACTGACCGTAGTTAAATTGGAACTATTAAACCAAAATAACTTCCACTCAATGCGGTTATTTTATTGACACTTTGGTGCAGCGGCTTTCACAAGTTGAGTCACCGTGTGGTGAATTTATCTTTCAGCAAGCATACTACTTTTTATCACTGCTGCTCTTTTGCCATAGGCTCATGCAAAAAATTTAGAAGCATTAGCATTGATGTATTGTTTTCTTATAGCAACCCAGTAGATTATTTTGTCCCACACACCAATACAATCAGTTTGTCCATACACCAAAATAATTAGCAGCAAAGTCAAATATTTCAATGAAAGAGATAAATTGGGAGTAAAACGATGAATGAGCACATGGTCATCCTATAGCTGTGAGATGGAATGCTGGGATTAATTGAGATGAAGTTAAAAAAACACTGTTTTTCATCCTTTGTGACATTAACTCCAATAGCTGGTGGATTTTTCCCTTGACTCTCATGAACCTCAGTTTTGTTAAGTGGTCAACTAGTGCCTTGAGAACAACTACTCCCATCTTTGCAGTGGCAATTAGCTTTATGTCAATGTCTAGATCAAAACTAAGACATGGTTAGGAGTCAAGTGGCTCTTGTTGTATTAGGTTTTAATGTGAGCTCTTCAGGTCTAACACAAGCTCAGGCCAGACTGCTTAGTAATGGTAAACACTGTATTTAAACTCTAAATGACGTTCTAGCTACAAAGCAGCACACTCCATGCTGTAGAGAGTCTGACTTTTTTGTCTACCACTAATAGATAACTACAGAGGTCATAGTGATAACACAGCTTTAGAATCTCATCTTCAGTAAGCCTTATCTCTATATCTTCACCACAACCCAATCCCTAACAAGTGTCTTTACAGTTTCCAATATCATTAATTAAAATACTTCCCAACATTATTAGCAGAAACATTTAGCCAGAAGTATTAACCTCAAGACTGTATGTATTTTCAACCGTATCGTCTGCCCCAAAGGTCCATTGTTCACAAATTCAAGCACCATAGATAGTTTGCAAGTCTCACTGAGTTGGTCTTTTGAAATAGTTTAGGGGGGCAATGACAGGCAGGAAAGCTGGTCTGGAACCAAACTTCTACGAATTGAAATGAAAACAGTAATATTAGTGACAGTATCCAAAACTCATATCACTGAAAGGAAAGGTTACCAGTGGAATGCCACATCAGGATGAAGACAGGTGCTCATCCAGAGAATATCACATCTACATGACTGGATACTAGTTAATTTAATCTTGTTCATGATACGTTTCTGGTCAAGAAATTATCTGACAATGAAAGACTGTTTATTGAACTTGCACCAAGGAAGAAGAACAGGGGAGAATCACCATTCAGTTGCAATAGTAGCACAATGACATCTGGAGATTCTTGTAGCATATTCTCAAGTTGTTGATGTAGAGAAAAAGTAATAATTGGGAAGATGACAGTGCGTAAATTCACTTTTTTTAAAAAGACTTGCACAAAGCTGATTGTATAGGATGAAGCAAATTGGTATAGATGGAAGATTGGCTGGTTAACAGGACACAGAATATAGGCATAAATGGGACTTCTTCAGGTTGGCAGGATCTAATGAGTGGTCTGACACAGGGCTCTTTGTTGGGACCTTATTTATAATTTATATAACGATTTGACAAATTTTCTGATAGCGCAAAGATAGGTAAGATTGCAAGTTAAGAAAAGGACAAGGCTACCAAAAGATGTGGAGATGGTAGGATTTTCTGAAGAAGGGTCCAGACCCGAAACATCAGCTTTCCTGCTCCTCTGATGCTGCTTGGCCTACTGTGTTCATCCAGCTCTACACCTTGTTTTACCAAAAGATATAGCTTGGGGTGAGAGGACAAAGATGCGGCAAATGGTCTATAATATGGGGAGAATGTGAAATTGTCCATTTTGGCATGAAGAATATAAAAGAAATATATTATTTAAATATTGAAAGAATCCAGAGTTGTGAGATGCAAAGGGATCTGAGAGGTCTTCACGCATGAATCACAATAAGTTAGTGTGCAGTTACAGCAAATAATTTGGGATGTGAATGGAATGTTCTCATTTATTGAGGGGGAGACTGAATACAAAAGTAGTGAGTTTATGCTTCAGTTATACTGGAAATTCATGAGACCACGTCTGGAATACAATGGACAGTACTGGTCACCTCATTTAAGAAAGCATGTAAATGCTTTGGAGGCAATTCAGAGAAGGCTTACTAGACTAATACCTGAAATGGGGAGAGGTGCTTATGATGAAAGATTGGACAGGCTAGGCTTGTATCTGCTGGAGTTTAGAAGAGTAAGAGTTGATTTGATTGAATAAGAGCCTCAGGAATCTTGACAGGGTAGCTGTGGAGATGATGTTTCCTTTTATGGGAGAATGTGGAACGAGGGGTCACTATTTAAAAATCTAGGGTCACCCATTTAAAACTGAGAACAGGTAATTTAATTCCCATTTTACAGTCATAAGTCTTTGGAACTCACTTCCTAAAAAGGTGGTAGAAGCAGAGTTCTTGAGTATTTTTAAGGCAGAGACAAATAGATTCTTGTCAAGCAAAGGAGTAAAAGAATAGCAAAATATGCACGAATGCAGATTTGAGGTTTCGATCAGATCTGCTGTGATCTTACCAAAACAAAGATGCAGCAAAAAGTTTTAACTGTGTTGACTATAGACCAACCAATTAGCTTCCTTTTCTCATGCCATTTAAATTGTTTCCTTTTTAAAGTTGTTTTTCTCACATTTCAGTCATGATTTGTGGAAAATGAAAAGCTTTTAACGTGATATTTATTTTCAGCAATGTTCAAGCTGTGAATAATAATGGACTACATGTGTTAACAAATGTACGTTTCTGCTTGTTTTCTAGGTTAAGTCCAACTCTTCTGGTGCTGATGAGCCTATCCCATATGATCAGGTTCAGAATGAATGTAGAACTGCCTATGGCTATCAGAATCAAAAAAATAGTGGAACTCCATTGGTGTTATTTCCTACAGTTGTCACATTAACTTACCTAGTATATTATACATTAGTGTAAGAACTAAATAAAAGGATGGAGGTACCACAGTAACCCTTAAATATTGCAACTTCCCCCCAAAAAAACTGAATATAAAGAAAATTTAGAGGCAGAATTTTCATGGGCCTTTTCCCACTCACTCATTGTAGCATTGCCAGAAATTGTGCAAAAACAGGTATGAATAAAGATGGATGTCACTTCAGTAGAGGTCCCTGAAAAATGTTAATCTCTTACACAATTTTAACATATTTTCCATTATCTGGATACTTTCAATGACTGAGTTATTTCATATCTTAATTATATAAAACATGGATTGGTTTTGGCTAAGCATACCTCACAGTTACTCAGGGTATTGTAGTGAGAGAAACGTATAGCCTACATTGTGCAACACTATATCTCTAATTAACACACACCCGCAATTTCTTCACAGCAACCAGACAAGCTGGCCCTTTCTACCCACACAAAGCTTTACTCGGAGTCTCTAAGTATAAGGTTCTGAGGAAGAGTCACTCGAGCCGAAATGTTACCTCTGATTTCTCTCCGCAGAAGCTGCCAGACTTGTTGAGCTTTTCCAGCAATTTCTACTTTTGTCTCTCAGTATTACAGTTGTACCTGTGGAGGGCAGGGACAATTTCAATGATGCATTCCTCCCTCTCTCTTGCACACGAATGTACAAACTGAAATGTTGCAACAGTACCTGGAATTTCAACATTAAACGCCAGTGAAGTGGTCAATCAAAACTCAAGGCTCTACACTGAGTTAGAACTTGCATCTGAAAACAAATCTGAACATAAAATTAGATATAACACAGTGTGTTGCTGGAGGAATACAGCAGACCAGGCAGCATCAGAGGAGCAGGAAAGTTGACATTTCGGGTCAGGACCCTTCTTCTGAAGAAAACGTCAACTTTCCTGCTCCTCTGATGCTGCCTGGCCTGCTGTGTTCCTCCGTTTCCACACTGTGTTATTTCTGACTCCAGCATCTGCAGTTCTTACTATCTCTGAACATTACATTTCTCCCTTTTACTTTAAGAAACAAACATAGCTTATAAAATTACAGCAGATGAAGATGGTGGTCTATTTCATGTTGTGTAAATGTCTCTCTATAATTTAGGCAATAAATATTACTTAGAAGGAAGGATTATTTCATGACTCATATAATTATGTTAATACCTCTACCCTCCTTTTCTTCAACCATCTACTTGATCTATTCTTAAACGTTAATGTGATCTGTTTCAATCGCTAACAAAATTAATGTACTACAGAATCTCTGTAAAGAAAAAAACTGGCTCCTCATGTCCTGAATCTTACTTTAATCTTATTTGGTTGTAGTTAATACAAAAGAAGACTATGACAAAATACAGTAAGGCATTATTAAATTTTACTGTTAAACTTCCCAATGGACATGCAAATGCCACATGAATTTCAATATAGACAAGTGTGTGGTGGTACAATTTGGCAGAAAGAATGACAAAGTCATGTGCTGCTTAGATTTTGGTCTGAATGGAGCAGAACAGGAAAGGTATCTAAGAAACACAAATCACTAACATTACTACCAAAGATGATCAGGGCTATTTAAAAAAATCAAATAAAGCATTATCATTACCTAGAGGGTTGGTACTGAAAGTCATACTTAGGGAATAGATTGTAAAAATTTGTACAAAAACAAAATACTGTAGATGGTGGAAACCTGAAATAAGAACAACAAAAAGTTGGAAAAACTCAGCAGGTCAGGTAGCTTCTGTGGAAAGAAACAGAGTAAACATTTCAAGTCAATGTCCTTCATCTGAACTGAGAATAGAAACTGAGTACTGGTGAAAATAGACACTTATTTTTTTCGTTTTGTCTTATATTCAATAGGCCAATGCTCAAGAAATACCACATAACAAAGGGAAAAAAACATTCATACTCTGTGTGTATCCTATAAGATTTCATGATGCAACAGTCAAAAAGTGGTATAGAGGGTCTGCAACATACGCTGTTGTGAAATATGTTGTTTCACATTCACCACTAACATTTTGAGTAACTAAACAAAAAATTTCCTCTTACTCACATCGTTGTGTCTTTTTCAAATCAGTTCAGCTTAGCAGGTACAACCTGTAATCTGTGTCTGTGCCATAATGTTTGCAACCACTTCCAACATCCTGCCTGATGCCTCTGAGTCACATTGTCTTCCCTTACATTGTTCATAGCAGGGGTGTGTGTTCATCGTGTTGTCTTGTGTTGTACATGTATACTACATATTTTGGTTGCTAGGTATGAAACGCACATTTCTCTGTTACTGTCCCCATTCCTACCTTATTCCAGGTTCCTTATGGGAGAAATTGCACCAATGAGTTGCAGAGGTGACTTTAATACTTTTACAGTCCCTATCCTCATAGTTACATTATTCTTAGGGGGAAAAGGTCATTGCTGATCTCATCTTGGCATCAGCTCCACTTTCCTGCCCACTCTCTATTACCATTCAACACATTACTAATTAAAAATCGGTCTGTGTCCTCCACAAATTTACGCAATGACCCAACATCCACTACACTTTGAATTCCACAGATTCACAAAATTTCTCATCTCTGTTTTAAATCTGCTAGCCCTTATCCTAAAACTATGACCTCTTGTTTTAGATTGCCCACATGAGGAAACATCCTTTTGACACTTAATTTGTCAATCCCCTTCAGCATCTAAAAATCTCAATTAGATCGCCTCTCATTCTTCTAACCTGCAGAAAGTCCAAGTCTAAACTGCTCATTCTCTTTTCATAAGACAAATCCCTCATCTCTGGAATCAATCTTGTGAACCTCCACTGAATTACCTCTAATGGAACTACATTGCCCTTCAAATAAAACCCAAGCATACAGTGAGGACTCCTGTAACTGAGTAGATCATCTCCTTGTTTCTTTTTATATCCCTTTGTGTTGTATTTGGATGGCATAATGTAGCAATTTTCACCTCATTTGAACACAGCCTTTGTTTCTTCACTACATCAATATTTGTTTTGGCTTTTGCATCATGAAATCTTTTGATTATTTAATCTGCCCTGATCTCCAGCCTATCACAGAATTTTCTTTGTTCCTCCTGCCACATCCCCTACCTTGCACCACCATTAAAACCCTTACATTTCTATTTCTCTTCAGCTCTGATGGAAGGCTGTTGACCTGAAACATTAACTCTACTCCTACTCATACATACTACCTAAAATTGAGTTTTTTCAGCTTTTATTGCGCTATTTTTTGCTCCTAATTTGTTTGAGTTTTAATACTGCTGTGAAAAGCTCAAGTTTGCAAAAGCAATTTGGAGCCCTCATGTGGTAAAAGATTGCACAACAAATATTTGTAATTTTAAATATACAGACGGTTCCTGATTTATGAACATCCAAATTACAAAAGTTTGTACTTAAGAATGAGATCCTGTATTAATATTAATTTTAAAGATCTGACACACAAACATTTGCTCATACTTACGAAGTTACTTTATTCTGCACTGTATTGTGTTCCAACTTATGTACAAAATCGACTTGAGTACTCACGAATGGAACCCATTCATAACTCAGGGACTGCCTGCAGCTCAAATAATTTTATAAGATGTAGGAGCAGAAATAGGCTATTCGACCCATCATGTCCGCTCTGCCATTCAATTAAATCAGAGTTCATATGATAATCCTCAACTCCACAGTCCTGTCTTTTCCCCACAACTTTCAATTAACTTAATGAGTAAAAATCTGTGCATTACAGCCTTGAAAACACTTAACAATACAGCCTCAAAAGCCCTCTGCAGTAAACACATCCATAGAAACACTATCTTCTGAGAGAAGGAATTTGTCCTAATCTTTTAAAGAGCAATCCATTAGTCTGAGATTATGCCCTCTGGTCCTAGACCCTCCTACAAAGAGAAACAACACCTCAAGCCCCCGCAGAATCATATGCGTTTGTTTAAGAGTGGCTTTATTTTTCTAAACTTCAATGAGTACAGGCCTAACCTACTCAACCTCTCATCAAAGAACACCGCTCCAAACCCAGGATCAGCCTTGTGAATCTTTTCTGGACTGCCTCCAATGCCAGTCTATCTTTCCTTAGATAGGACGACCAAAACTGCTCACGGTATTCTGAGATAGTAGGAACTGCAGATGCTTGAGAATCCGAGACAACAAGGTGCAGAGCTAGATGAACACAGCAGGCCAAGCAGCATCATAGGAGCAAAAAGGCTGACGTTTCGGGCCTAGATCCTTCATCAGAAAAGGGTCTAGGCCTGAAACGTCAGCCTTTTTGCTCCTATGATGCTGCTTGGCTTGCTGTGTTCATCCAGCTCTGCACCTTGTTGTCACAGTATTCTGGGCGTCATCCAATCAGTACCATGTATAGTTTTAGCAAGACCTTTTTTTTAAAATACTGCATTACCTTTGAAAATAATGCAAACATTCTATTTGCCTTTGCTATTACCTCCTGGAATTGTATGCTATCTTTTTGTAATTAATGCAAAGATTCCTCTGTGCTGCAGCTTTCTCCACTTAAATATCTAGCTCCTCTATTTTTCCTGTTAAAATGCATAACCTGACATTTTTCCACATTATATTCCAACTGCAAGTTTTTGTCCATTCACTAATCTGACTATATTCCTCCGTATACTCTGTCATTCCCACCATGTGTCTTCCTATCTATTTTTGTCATCTTAAAATTTGGCAATAGTACATTTATTTCTGTCATCCAGTCATTAATATATATTGTAAATAATTGTGGCTCCAGCACTGATGCCACTCTACTAGCTACAGATTGCCATCCAATAATGCCACTGTAATCCTATCACTAGACCTTTGATCAGTTAGCCAGTCCATGCTGATAATGACATTAACGTCTCTTAACTTATTAAATTGCCTTATACGCAGTACCTTAAAGAACACCTGTTAGAAATCCCAAATATATTACATCTACTGGCCCGTCCTTCTCTGTCCTGCTTGTTACCTCTTCCAGAATTTTAATAAATCTGACAGGCATGATCTCCTGTTCATAAATTCACGGTGACTCTCCATTATATTATGTACTTTTAACTGCTCTGCTAATACATCCTTTCTAATAATCTCTAACATTAGATATTAAGCTAAATGGCCTATGATTCCCTGTGTTTTTGTCTCCCTCCTTTTTGATTAGGTTGTTAGGTTGGTAGCTTTGCAAATCCTCTTGGGCCTTTTCAGAATCTCTGGATTCTTGGAAATTATTACCAGTACACCTCCTACCTCTGTAGCTACTGCTTTTTATGGCAAAAATATAGTTTATTCATAAAAAATTATCAATAATTACACACTAGGGGTACCAGTAGCTAGGGATTATAATTTCAAGATTGTCAGCAAGAGAGCTATGAGTGAGATGAGAAAAAACTTCTTTATTCAGAGTTTTCAGGATTTGGAATACACCACCTGCGAGAGTGGTGAAAGCAGATTCCGTAGGAGATTTCAAAAGATTTATATTTTAAAGTGATGAAGTTAGAGGGCTACGGAAATACGACTGGAAAGTGGGACAAGCTGGGTAGCTCTTTTGGAAGCAGAACTGAATGGACCCACATTATACTTTGACAGCGGTCTTTCCCCACTGTATTGGCAGCAACTGTCCCAAACTTTAGTACTTCCCGCAGCATGTAGTCCTGAATGGAATGTGCCAGTCTGCAACTCTAGTTGAGGTCAACTCTTTACACTCCACATCTGGTCCCATTGCACATAGGCCTCTTGATCCACACCTTTTAACCTGTTTCACTCACCTATCACTGTGGAAAGTTTACTATCTACAGCAAGTATTACTTAAAGTACCACTTTCCCCCTCTGCACATTTCCTCTTTTGACCCAAATTCCTAGATATATTCACTTAGCTTCCCTGTCTTACTATGGCAAAATTTCCTCACACTAACCATGCTACTTGTTGCTCCAAGCTCAGCGTCTCTGAAATATTGAGAGATTCAGAATACGATAATCTTTAGCAAGAAATTAATGACCCTCATTCCTTTTTGGTAGAACTCAAAGCCACCCATTGTCGACTGATATTAATCCTGTTTCATGCATTAAAAAAAAGAGAAACTCAAATGAGTTGGCAGTGTACATTTAGTTTAATAAAGTACAAATTTCCAGGATGAAAAGAGGTGAGATTTAAACCAAGTAAGTCAGCTTATTACCAATGCATGAGAATTCACCCAGAGACAGAAGGTCCAGGAGGAATGAGTAAATACATCCACAGTTGAAATTTCATTTTGCTCAAGTTTCATTCACACCAGTGCATAATCATTGTTGAAATATAGGAAACGTGGCAGCCAATAAGGACACAGCAAGATCCTACAATAGCAATGTGATAATGAGCAAAAAATCCATCTTATAAATGCTGGTTGAGAAATAGGCATTGGCTGAGACAACAGCAAGAACTTGCTTGTTCATCTTCAAAATGGTATCATGGACTTAATTGTTTGAGACAGCAGATGACTCATCCAAATGACAACATATCCAACGCTGCAGCACTCCCTTAGCCTACTGACTTTCATGCAAGAAGTGTCCCAATGCAACTTACAACTAAGACCTGCAAAGACACTTGCTAATATGGAACAGATTAAGTATATTGATGTAAAACCCTTATTTGAAAAGATGGGTTTTGAAATGTTTGAGGGATAATCTTCAAAGATTAATTCCCCATTTAAAGATTATATTGTTTAATTTAGTACAAATTCAGATCCACGTTTATCATTAAAAACTTCCCGTAGGATTACACAGAAACTAGCAAAATTTGCCACTAAACAATATGATGAAATTCTAGTGCAAGTGACCAAACACTTGATCAAAGGGCAAGATTTTAAGCAGTATCTTCAAAATTGATGGTAGTTAGGAGTCTACAAAGCCTAAGGTCAAGGCAACCGAAGGCATGACCACCAGTGATAATACAATATTGTGCATTATAATTGCAAGAGATGTTGCTGGAGTGCCTTATTGGTAAGAGTGTACCAATAAGATGTGATGGGCTCAAAGCTGTGCTCATTATAAAATGTGAACATCAGCATTTGAAAAGGTTCACCAGCAGTACACGTAGATATAAAATTTATATAACAGCAAATTGTATTTAATAACAAAAACTGAAATTGTTGGAGAAACTCAGCAGGTCTGGCAGCATATGTGGGAAGAAAGCAGTTAAATCCAGTAACCCTTCGTCAGAACTGTCAGTAGCTTAGAGAAACTGGCATTTATGCTGAAGTTGGTAGGGGTGGGGGTGGAGGCAGGGCAGGGGTGGAGGCAGGGCAGGGTAGGAGGTGGTGGGTGAGCGGATAGTTGGAGAAGAAGCCCAGAGAGAGAGAGAGAGAGAGAAATGAAAAGCTGGGTAAACAAGGAAGTAATGGATAGCGGTCCAGGACAGAAGAAAAGCTGAATGCGAAAGAAGAGCTGTTTTGTATTAAATAACAAAACTGACAGAAATTTGGGAAGAAAACAGTTGAGCGTAGATGTTTCAGCAGTAACAGTTTAAAAAACTGTTACATGCAAAATTGAAACTGCAGCACCGCTGTTAGCAGACGGCTTCAATTACAGGATTACAAGTTTATATTTGCAACACTCATTATCAACGCTGACAACAATTTCTTGTAAAGAATATGTGTTTTTATTTGCAATTTTTAAAGTTATGCATGGAAATGAGTTAAGAACGGTTTTAAAAGCAGGGACGGCAAGGACTGCTGTCTGGCTTGAAAGTAAATTGGTACCCTTTATGATACTCATGGTTTGCACAGCTGTGGCTTTAGCAATGGTTGCAGACAAACTGGAGCCAAAGGATTGTGTGCAAATGCAGCTTTGATTGACAAGTAGTGAATTGGTTTGTGGTTCTGGCAGGTAAACTGGAGAATTCTGTATATTTTAAACCATCTTCAGCTTGGGTAATATCTCCGCGAATAGTAAAGCTTCATTTCCACCACAGTACCCCAGTGAGATATAACACCAGGAAAATATATTAAAAGTCCAGTTAACCTACTTCTCTGGATTGGACTAAATTTAATTAGTTCCTTTAATCAACTGAACTTAGACCTACATTGTAAAAACAAGAAAGCAGGTGACAAAATAATAGTTAACAATTTAGGGAGAGATAATCTGGTAGCAAGTAGTGAGCAGTTTTTTTTAATAACAATAATTCAAATATAACAAAATGGTTTTCAATACCCTCCAATTGAAATATGCAAATTACCCACGAATGAAACTCATATGGAGTCCTTGAAGACAATCCATTCTTCACAATTAAACAAGTTGGATTTGAGGATTATCAAAAGTCAAATCTATTAAATTACTCCATTACCTGAAACTTCAATATAATTTAAAACCAAAGAAACAGGATCAAACACCAGCAACATTTTCACAAGAAAGTGCCCTTGTGTACAACTGTTACAATTCTGAACTAATAACCTGCTAGGTTTACAAACGATATCATCTTGCAAGCATACGGTTACAGAAAAGCTTGTTGAATTCACTTAATTTCCCCACCAAAATTGGGTGTTGTGCATTTCCTTGTGAAGATGTCAAAGGAATATGGTTAGTAAAGAGCAATCCATGTTAATAATGTTCTCAGTTTGAGAACAACAGTCTTTTAATATGATTGACAAGATGAGTTATGTCAGAGTGTCCTCGTTCCGAACATATTCGCCAACATCAGCCTGGTGAAATACAACAATTGCCATAGGGTCTACTTTCCGGCAATCCTGTGTTGATTTTGCAGCAACTCCGAAGCCCTTCAGAAATAAGTCAAAAATGTTTTAAAAGCTGTACGTTATATAATTTAACTATGGCTCAGTTCATCAGAATCCTGATGGTGTTTAAAAAGCCAGAACCAAGGATAAATAACAAATATTAACATTTGGATTCTCAATACAGCCTTGAAGATAATTTGACTATAAATATTATTATTAAACACTGTTGAGACCATCACTATTTTTTATTTTACCTTTATGATTTTTCATTTGGAAATGAGAGTTGAAATTGAGAATTGACCTTTGAATAGGAGCTTTTGTTTGAAACATAAAAAAGAGTACAAACAGAGATTTTATTATGAGGTATTGGCCTGGAAAGATAATGCAGATTAATTACTGCACAAATGACACTACAGACAATTTGACACGGAGATATTGCAATGGTCAGATTGACAGCTGGTTGGATGTTGGTCAATCAAGGAAGGACCTACTACAGAAAATGTTGAAGAAAAAAAGAGAAAACTTAGACTGAACTGGTTCTGACTAGATTTTGAACAGCAGGCAGTTTTATATTTTGAAAGCTTCCAGAAGATGCTTTTGTTTTGCTCTCTGATTTCAATCCCGTTTTCAAATTGTTGAATGCTCTGAGAAGAGGACCCGAGTCTGTATGAAGTGGCTGAATAATTATGGAAGACTATTGAAGCTGTTTGCATTGACCCACAACCTCTGACTTTGGAATTCAAGCAAGATATAGTCAGTGGGAAAGCGGAGGTTATTGATCAAAGAATATTGGGCTCAGATCGTAGACATTAATTAGAATGTCTCATAGTTTGTGTGTTCCGCTAGAGTTACATACTTAAGAACAAATTGTTAATTTGTGTTTAAAATCACACTTTGGTATACGTGATCTATTATTTATAAAGCTGACATGAAACAGCTGAGCAATTTTTGGGTCATTTTATGTTTTAAGTTCACTCTGTTATGAATCCAGTGACAGTGAGACAGGTTTGGTTTGGCTTGCTATCCCATGATGTAACAACACTGAGAAAACTATTTTACACTGTCCGTTTTAGCCTGAAGGGATAAATTATACCAACAAAAATTGTTTTAGGTTCATGTGGATAGGCAGCTGTAATGAAGCCTACTCATAACAGAGATAACTTGCCTTATTTAGATTGAAAATTAAACCTTAGAAAATTAATGTCAAATGTAATTACATCTGTCAAAACAAAGTGAACCTTGGTATATCATGTCAGAATTTGTCTAGATTCTTCTTAAGCTCTGTATCCAGAGGCATGTCCGACCCACAGTGACACAAGCTCTGTTGAGGTCATGAAGGCAAACTTCAAATCACCCCAATCAAAACAGGGATCAAACCATGTGCTATTGATTCCAATCTGATTCACACAGCCTGTCCAGCAAACTGTCACCAATCCAGTTTAAAATCCAGAACTTCCGTTGCAGAAACATGGCTGCTTCCCACTGTGCCTCAAGATCACTTCTGTCTAATTTACCCTCTCTAGCAGAATGGTTATGCCTCACCAATTAATAAAGAGCAAACAATCCTTTCACTTACCAACGGAATGTCTGCCATTGAGTAAACCACTACACCTTGGTACTGGGATGTATTTTCGGTAATTCGGCCCAAACCAGATTTCAAAATATGGTTTCCATACAAGAAAGATTGTTCTGTTCCTGGTTTCACCCACACTTTGTACTGAAATTTTAAAAAGTAAGTTATCTCATACATTTGAATATTTTAGAATGTTACACAAGATAAAGTTTGAAGGCACATTCTAATATTTAGGAAATACAGATCCAACCTTGCCCATACTAAAACAGCACTAAATTTACAATGATGCATCTACCGGTTCATTGTAAACGACATCACCTACCTTGGCATAGGGAGCAAGATAGTCGAGTGCTGTAATGTGAAGTCGAAATTTTAAAGTCTTAGTGAATTTTCCAAAGCAGGTTCCGAATGAAACAAGTTTATCTCGAGAAATATTTGTTGCCAACTTCAGGATTTTCTCACTACAAGAGACAGTAAAACAAATTGCAGCTAAATCGAATTCGATATTCCATTACAGTGCCCCTTCCAGATAGTGCTGTACAAATAAACTTTGAAACACTTAATCATAGTTATTATGTAGTACACATTCACAACTGTTCATTCTGGTCTTCAGCAAAAACTCACTCAAATTCTTTCATCTTTCCTTCGTACTAAAAAGGATTTTCCCACACTTCCTCAACCTTCGGTATACCTCAGATGAAATCACTGACTTGCTCAAAACCAGGGCACAGGATTAAAAATTTGTTGCCTTGCTTACCTTACATAATAAACACGATCATTGTGTAAGCGGAAGCAGTAGGTTCCATCAGGCCGATCCACCAGTAACTTTATATTCTCTCCAATGCTAAAATTAGTCAAACAAAATAAGGGCAGAGCTTAAAATGCTTTCTTACTTTTGTGTCCCAAATTTAGTGTTCAATTTAACAAACAGTACTTAGATGATTAACACAAAAGCAAAACAATACAGATGCTGGAAATCCGAAATAAAAATTCAGTTGGTCAGGCTTCATCAAAAATCTGATGAAACATCACTTGACCTGAAACTTTAACTTTATTGCTCCCCACAAGTGTTGCCTGATCTTCTGAAATTTTCCACACTTTTTTTTAATACCAAAGATGACCGCATGATAACAAACACTTCGTACAGAAACGTAGTTGCCCAGTAAAGTGACTAAATGACCAAGAGCTCCTCACTTATGACTACAAGCAATTGAGGACCAGAGGAATCATGCCAAAGAAAACCCTTAATAATCCTCAAATTGGGAAAGATTTAGAAAAGCACACATGAATTCCAACCCAAAACAATACTACACTTAAGTATTTAATTCAAGGCTCAGTGTTTCCAATTTAGAAACACCAAATTACATCTGGCATACAGGCAGGATTTTCCAGCAACACTGGGAAGGGAACTTTTTTTGTTTCAAGACTTTCAAAATTAATTATTCCTAGATCAGATACCACAGTAAGATACAGCACAACTATCTCTACAGTGCCCAAACAATGTGTATGTTCTAACTAAAAAAACAATTCCCCAACAATAAATATATCATAAACCAGAAGTGCATAACCTGGAAGTGCAAGTTTATTTTGCATTAGAGCTACATGACCTTACAGCAACCTGATGATATCAAAGAACTGTGCATCATTGAATACAGATAGCACAGAGCAGGGAGAGTTAAAACAGAAAGTACCACCGCACAATGACGCTTGGGAGCACATGAACACATCAAGCAGATTAATGCTTATGTAATGTAACCATAAGATCTGAGCCTTTTAAGTCTAGATTTACCTACAGCCATATTTAGTATGAAAGCATAATAAACGGTGTCATTTTGAAGTCTAAGCCTGATAAATTATTTTTGATTTTGCCTTGTCCACAACCAGCCTGTCCTGGACCCAAATTCTGAGTCACGTTATTAAAACTCCAAAGGTGATTCAGAATTGTACATGACTGCACTGTGATGTGTGTGTGTACAGATAACAACTATATTTACAAGGAGATAGTAAGAACTGTAGATGCTGGAGTCAGAAATAACAGTGTAGAGCTGGAGTAGCACAGCAGGTCAGGCAGCAGAGGAGCAGGTAAGCTGACGTTTCGGGAAAGGACCCTTCCTCTGATGCTGCCTGGCCTGCTGTCTTCCTCCAGCTCCACACTGTGATATCCACATTAACATGGACTCAGGAAGACTAGCCCCAACAGGTAGCCTCTCTGGGTTCACCCAGTTGCCTTTTATCCTCCCCACCCCCGTAGCAGGCACCGAGAGTGGGACCCAGAGCCAAGACAAGCTATTCCGCGCAGCACCGGGATACTCGGGTACAACACCCGCGCCAGCGCCAGCCTCACTATTTGGAGAGTTTCTCAAACAGGAGCCGGGTCTCCTCGTCCGTCAGCGGCCGCATCGCCGGACCCACGCGCTCGAACCGGAACCGGAAGCGGAACCGACCGGGACCGGAATCGACCGTAACCAGGGCGACCACAGGGCTGACTTCTTCCACATCACCGAAACCTTCCAGAAAATAACTTCACATGTTTCAGCATCTTGGGTGGGGGGCGGCGGAAATAACATCCTTAATTTGAGAGGTCGGTGCTGAATATCGCCGCTTTCTCAAACCATTGGAGGTTTCTTTTCCATGTTCGCTGTATCCATAAATTGGTGGGAACTGGAGGAATGTAGAAACACTTTTTAAAAAAATATATATACTACACTGGGCACGTTTGCAGTGAGAAATGAATGTTATCTTGGATCTAAAATGAAATTTTAATGTTAAACAAGGTGATCAAATGTATCGGGCATGAGTCTTTTGATTAAATCGATTTATAACTCCCAGATTTCTCAAGCCGGAACTGTTCTTTCGGTGGGGATGTGCAGTCCGGAGGGTCATTCCTGCCCGGTCCCTTTCCAACCCGTTTCCGGTTGTTTACCGTTCACCCGGGTGACGGTTTCTTTTAAAAAAAACTTTTGCTTTTGAGAAGAAATGAAGCGGAACAAACGCGGCCGCTTCGTGTCCGTGTCGATGGCGCAGAAAATGAAAAGGCTGTCTGAGGTTCAGCGGCAGCGGTGGATACGCCCCGAGCGGCCGGGGCCTCAGTCCGAGTCCGGAGTTCCGCCGCGGGGAGATGAGGCCCCGGGGCCTGAGGCCGCTGTGGAGTCAGGTCACTGCCCCCGGGCTGGGCCTGCTTTGAATGACCGTCTCTCGTCGCCCTTTAAAAAGCTGCAACTCTTTGGTCTGGGATTAGCCAAAGCTTGTCCTCACCTTGACTCAGTTAACACCCGCTCAGTGAGTGAGTGAACAACTCCCCTTTACTCCAGGAGCTCGGGTTTACTCTGGGGTTAGTGCAACATTGTTAGAGGCACCGTCCGTCTGATGAGATATTAACTACAGGCACTGTCTGCCGATTCTGGTAGCACACTTTCAAGAAAAGGAGGCAAATCCTATGATCCCTGTGAGGCTGCCTGCCTAAACTTGACACTTTTCTAATCCTTTATCACATTGGTTTTTGGAGCTCTGCTATGTCCACATTGGTTTACAGAGCAATGATAGCCAGACTTCAAAAGTTATGAGTGTTAGCGATGTCCTGCAGGTTCGCAATGTACCATATAGGCGCGATCTACTAAATTAGTTTCAGAATTAATGGAATTGGTTATCCTACGATGTTTTTGTTTTATTTCTGGAAAAGAGCCTTGATACAAGTTTTGAGTTTCAGGGGTTTAAGGTCATCTGGTTTTCTGCCAGATCTCTCAAACTACATTCTGTTGAATTATAAAAACCGAAAGGGTCACCGGACCCGAAACGTTAACTCTTGATTTTTTTCTTCACTGATGCTGCCAGACCTGCTGACCTTTTCCGGCAACTTTGTTTTTGATTCTGTTAAATTATATTTGCCACCTCTTTTTAGTTTTGTGTGCATTGAACGTTATTTGCAACTGGTGCCAGTGTGGTATCATCTATAAATTTAGCCACAGCCGGGATAATTACGTTCTTTGTAGCACTCATAAACCATGATTCCCACAGCACATCACTTAATACATAGCACAGCTTCCTCTCAAACTCCTCGTGTAGTACAATTTAATGCCGTCTACAAGATGGACAAATTTTAATCTATATTAATAACCTGGACTTTGGTGTACAGGGTGCAACTTTCATGTTTGCTGAAAATACAAAACTTTAAAAGATTGTGATGAGGATTGTGTAGAACTTCAAAAGAACATAGACAAGTTGGTGGAATAGGTGACAGATGAAGCTCAATGCAGAGAATTTTGATCACTTTTGGTAGGAAGAGTGTGAGGAGACAATACAAAAGGGCACCACTTTGAAGGGGTGCAGGAACAGAAAAACCTGAATGTATGTGTGTGCAAGTTATTGAAGGTGGCAGAACTGGTTGATATAGAGATAAATAAAACCTATTGTATCCTATGCTTTATTAATTGGGGGTGTAGAGTGCAAGAGCATGGAGGTTATGTCGAGCTTTCTCGGACACGATTTCAGCCTTGGCATGCGTACTGTATCAAATCTTGGGCGCTGCACTTCTGCATGTTGAAGGCATTGGAGAAGGTGCAGAAAAATACCCAGGAGAACTGTTCCTGGGTTGAAAAACATCAATAATGAAGATAGATTGGAGAAATTGAAGATATTTTCCTTATAGAAGAGAAGACTGAAATGAGATATATTGAGGTATTCAAAATCATGAGAGTCCTGGACAGATTAGATAGGGACAACTATACCTGTACATGAAAGGTGCGAGGATAACAGGACACAAAGTCATTAGTAAAAGAAACAAAAGTGGCAAGAAGAAAAGTATTTTTGTGCAACGAGTGAGTAGTATCCAGAATGCACTGCCTGAGAATGTGGTAGAAGTAGGTTGAACTGAAGCGTTCTAAAGGGAATTAAAATGTTATATGAAAATGAATGTACACAGTAATGGGGTAAATGCAGAAAATGGTGCTCATTTGGAGACTTGGTGCAGACATAGTGGGACAAATGGGTTTCTTCTTCACTCACTTGTGCGATATTACCACTTTTTCAAAAAATGAGTCAGATTTGCAACTGTCCAGTGTTATTGTGTACAATCTGAGTCCATTCAGGATTAGAAATTTGACAATTCCTTCATAAATCTATTACAAAAGTAGCCTCAGTCCTGGAGCCTTTTTGCCCGAGGGCAACTTTTCCGATCGATCTTTCCTTGAGATTTTGAAGATTTTGCAACTATACTGGCTGTTAAACTGCATGTTAGTTTTTGATATTCCCCACCTTATTTCAAAGAAATGGTTTCTTGTTATTACAAGAAACTTCTTTGACCGTTGAACTAAAGCTGACACGAAAATCTTCAGACATTACTTTCACTTCCCTAACTATTCCAACACTTCAGCTGCATAAACTGATGCTTGTCTAAAATTCAGTTGCTCCAATGTGTTAATCAACATTCTAATCTGGCCCAAATTTGTAAGCTTCTCTACTGATATGCTGATCTATACCTTAGCAATTTCTTTTAGTCCTACCTGTCAACTCAAGACAGCATTCTTCTGACTTATATTTTCTTTTACATTTCCCCTCACTATACACACTTCAAAGGTGTGATCTACATACCTTCTAAATCACCCTCTAACTACACTGCTAACACTGAAAAATTCAAAAACAACAACATGGACAGTAATTTGGCCTTCTGAAACCTTTAGTATCCCCTTATAGTCAAGCTTCCATCACTAAATAATTAGACAATTTTATTTTCTCAAAAAGTTCAGTTTATCATTTATTAAATGCAGCAATTTTTTGCAGGACTTGTTCACAAAAATTTCTAAACATTGACTTTTGCACCTAATATATCAAAATAATTTCTGTAAAAGGAATGGAAAGTGTATTGTGGGGTTCAAGGTTATTCACAATTGCTCCTATCCAAGCATAGAAATCTGATTTATTAATTGAGAAAGAATCAGACTGTCAAGTCTTTCAGCTGCCAGAGTGATACATATGGTGGGTCTGTTTTTACTGGATCTCCTTTTGTTTTATGAAATATAGTCTTGGATGGCAATATCTGTTCAACTTCAGTGTTAACACTGCTTAAGCATGGACCCGAGTTTCTGTTTTCTGATTAGGGCATGCTAATATCCCAGCATGGTCATTATTGATTTGGAATGTCTGGAATTTTCTTTTTTCCAGATCTTCTGAGTTTTATTTTAAACAAAACCCTTTATTTAGAGTCATTGAGATGTACAGCATGGAAACAGACCCTTCGGTCCAAGTCTTCCATGCCAGCCAGATATCCTAAATTAATCTAGTCCCATTTGCCAGCATTTGGCCCATACCCTTTAAACCTGTTGATTTACCCATTCAGATGATGGAGTCATAGAGATGTACAGCACGGAAACAGACCCATAGGTGCAACTCGGATAACAGGAAATATTGTTACAGAAATGTGCTTTCTTTGCTGGCTGACAATCAAATTTTTTTTTAATTTTATGTCTTTACATACATGTTCATTGGATGTTTCATTTGGTCTGTCAAGAGGAAGAGCAATAGTTGTAGGAGACTTGATAGTGGGCGGTACAGACAAGCATTTCTCTGGCTACAGACATAACTCCAGTATAGTGCTGCCTTCCAGTAGCCAGGGTCAAAAATATCACTGGTTGCAGGGCATTCTGAAGGGGGAAGTAAACAGTTAGCCATTGTAGTTCATATTGGTACTAGTGACCATAGGCAGCAAGAATTTAGGGAGCTATGTAGCAGACTGAAAAGCAGGTCCTTAAAAGTTGTAATCTCTGGATTACTCCTTGCCACATGTTAGTAAGAATAGGAATAGGCAGATAGAGCAGATGAATACTTGGCCGAAGAGTTGGTACGGAGCAAGTGCTTTAAATTCCTGAATCACTGGTTCCATTTTGAGGAAGGTAGGACCTGTACAAGTCCAGACAGTTTACATCTGAATGGTAGTGGGGCCAACTTCTTTGGGGGAGGTTTGCCAGTACTGTCAGTGGGGGCTTAAACTAATTTGGTAGTTGAATGATAATAGAGTGGAGGTGAAATAGGGAGTAATGTAAAAGCAAAATCAAGTCACCTGGAAGGTAGAACGTATATAGTCAAGGCAAGGCACAAGGGACAAAAACCATGCTGGAGAAACACAGGTCTGGCAGCATCTATTAGAGGGGAAAAAAACAGATAACGCTTTGATTCCAATGACCCTTCATCAGAACTGTGTAGGAGGTAGTGCACTATTGATAAGAAATCAATCACTGCAAAATGAAAGTCTAATATCTTCGAAGGTTCCTTGTTTGAGGCCATAAGGATAGAATTTAAAAACAGAAGGGGAGTCAGGTTTATAAAATCATGAGCGACATAGATAAGCTGAATGACAAGGGTCTTTTCCCTCGCGTGGGGGAGGTCAAAACTAGGGGGCATAATTTTAAGGTGAGAGGAGACAGACTTAAAAGGGACATGACGGGCAACTTTTCTGACAGTGGTTCGTATGTGGAATGAACTACCAGAGAAAGTGATGGATGCGGATACAGATACAGTTACAACATTTAAAAGACATTTGGATAAGTTTGTGAATAAGAAAGGTTTGGAGGGATATGGGCCAAGTGCAGGCAGATGGGATTAGTTTAGTTTGGGAAAATGGTCAATGTGGACTGGTTGGAGCAAAGGGTCTGTTTCCATGCTGTGTGACCTTGAGTCTACCCGAAGATGCTGTCTAGTCAGATGGTCAGAACAGAGGCCGATGTAGTTTAATCCTTAAAAAGAAAGTTATGCATTTTGGAAGGACAAACAAGGCAAGGGAGTACATGATGACTGGTAGGATCCTGGCCAGTACTAAGGATCAGTGGAACCTTAATGTACATATACATGGATCCTTGAAGGACATGTGGACAAGGTGGTTAAGAAGGTGAATGGAATACTTGTCTTCATTAGCCAAGGCATTGAACGCAGGCTGGGAGGTTATGCTGGAATTGTAAAAACTGTTAGTTAAACCATAGCTAGAGTACTGTGTGGTTTTGGTCATCACAGTATATGAGGGATGTAATACAACCAGAGAGGTTGCAGAAGGGATTCACCAGGCTGCTGTCAAAGCTGGAATGTTTTCAGCTAGAAAAGAGATTAGATAGGTTGGGTTGTTTTCTTCAGAGCAGAAAAGATTGAAGAGAGACCTGATTGTGGTCTCCAAAAGTATGAAGGGTATAGATACGGTCAATAGGAACAAACACTTTTCCCTTACTAGATGGGGACATTTACTAGGGCCCATGGAATTGAGGTAAGGAGCAAGAGATTTTGAGGAGAAATAGAAAAAATTTTCACCCTGAGAGTGGGTATTTAGAATTCACTGTCTCAAAGGGTGGTAGAGGCGTGAACCATTACAACATCTAAGAACTATTTAGATTAACATTTGAAATGCCATAGAAAACGAGGCTGCCACTGAAATTACAGCAGGAAATTGGAAGAAACCCATGAGAATAATCAGGTCCTATTAATTTAAAATTGAGGGGGAGGCAGTAGCATAATGGTAGTGTCACAGAACTAGAAATCCGGGACCCCAAGCTAATATACTGAGGATATGAATTCAGTTTCCATGGCAAATGGTGAAATATAAATGCAATGGAAAAAAATCTAGAATTAAATGTTAGCCTAATGGCTACCATGTACCCATTATAAATTGTGGGGGGACAAAAAAAAAACTCTGGTTCACTAATGGCCTTTAGGGAAGGAAATCTGCCATCCCACCTGGTCTGTCTTACATGTGACTGTAATGTGGTTGACTCTTAACTGCCTTGTGAAATAACCGAGTAAGACCTCCATTCCTGAGAAATTATGGATAGGAGATAAATGCTCGCCTAGCCAGCAATGTTCAGTCCCATAAACAAATTAGAAAGAATTCTGTCTCATGTTCAACGATAATGGGATCATTTAGCCTGATACGTAAATGCAAAAACCTTAATCTTTTCAGCAGCACTGTAAATATTTATGACACTAACCAGAATGATTTTGGTGACATTCTTCAGCTGGATATTGTTTGTAGGTCACACTAGGAGGGTTTCAAACTAAGCTTCCTTGCTGGACACGAGTCACCTGAGAGAATCTTAAAAGAGTTTGTCATTTTTATGGATTTATGAAAACTACTTCCACAACATTTCTGTTGTATAACAAACGAAGATATATGGTGTCAGCTACCTAAAGCAGGCACAATTCATGATGCGTTCTCTCAGAATATGTCCATGTATGTGAGGACATTTGTACAGAAAAGTTTGAAAACCATAAGCAAAGGCAGTGGTTAAAAAATCATATCTTTTAACCTTTTTAAGTTCCTAATTTCATGCTTAATATTCACCTTTCTCCCTGTAATGCATTTTGAAATATCCTCTTGTGTGAGGAGGGCAATATATTACAAATCATTCGTGTTGCTTTTCCTTAAATGCAATGATCCAAATTTCATAAATAGCTGGAATAAAATAGGGCCTGAGCTGAAAGACGAGATAGTGAGGTGTGTGACTGACTGAGAACTTATTTATAAAGAGTGATTTTGATAATATTAAAAATGGAGAGATGCAGGTAGGTGTAGTAAAATAGCTTGCTATTTAGTATAAGGCAGTATGAAACTGTACCACTAAGAGAATCCTACAGAACAGGGGGCCATTCAGCCTGAATGTGCCCATGCCAGTTCTTTGAAACAGTATCCAATTAGACACTTGTTCTTTTCTCATTATACTGCACCTTCTCCCCTTTTTGAGCACGTTACACTTCAATCTGTTTCCACCATCTCTTAAGATTGTGTATCACTACCTCGAAGACTAGATAACCGTAACTCACTGCTTAAAAGAATTTTCTTCAAACCTCTTTTAGTTCTTCTGGCAATGATTTTAAACTGCTTCCTCTGATTTCCAACCCTTCTACTTGTGGAAACGATTTCTCATTTACTGTATCAAAATCTCTCAATTTTATATACTACTAAACCTCCCTTTAACGTTCTCTGCTGTAAGAACAATCTCTATCTTTTGCACATAACTGAAATTGCTCATCCCTGAAACTAGTCCATAAATTTCCTTTGTACTTCTCTGAGGCTTCAAAGCCTTTTCTAAAGTGTGATGCCCAGAACGGGACATTGGACTTCTGCAGCCACTTAATCAGTCATTTTATAAAGGATTTGATATAATTTACTTGCTTTTGTACTCTATTTCTCTTTCATGGCTATTCACAATATATGTTAATGATTTAGATGAGAAATCTAAATGTAATATCTCAAAATTTGCAGATGACATAAAGCTGGGTGGAAAGGTGAGCTGTGAAGGGGATACAGAGATGTCGTATTGTGATTTGGACAGGCTGAGTAAGTGGGAAAATGCATGGCAGATGTAGTATAATGTGGATAAATGCGAGATTATCCACTTTGGTAGCAAAAACAGGGGGGCGGATTATTATTTGAATGTCTGTAAATTGAGGTGGGGGAATGTTCAATGAGACCTGGGTGTCCTCATGTACCAGTCGTTGAAAGTAAACGTGCAGGTACAGCAGACAGTAAAGAAGGCACACTGTATGTTGGCTTTCATAGCAAGAGGATTTAAGTACAGGATCAATGAAATTTTGCTGCAATGATTAAGGGTATTGGTGAAGCCACACCTGTGTGCATTTTTTTCAAAATTCAGTTTCCTTATCTGAGAAAGGATATTCATGTCATAGAATGAGTGCAGTGAAGGGTTACCAGATTGATTCCTGGGATGATAGGACTGACGTATGAAAGTGACTGAGTCGGTTAAGATTGCATTCACTGCAGTTTAAAAGAATGAGGGGTTCTCATAGAAACCTATAAAATTCTAACAGGACCAGACTTTAAGTGCATGAGGGATGTTCCCAATTCTGGAGTCCAGAACCAGGGTTTCTAGTTTAAGGGGTAAACCTTTTAGGACTATTCATATAGCCTATTCATTTTATGCTCATGTGCTTGGTTACTTTCTCCCTATCATTATACAATTTGTTTCAACCACTTCTTTTGGTAGCAAGTTCCAGGTTCTTACCATATTTTCATTCCTATTTTTGATGAAAGATATTCCCATTTTGATATCAATAGGAATTAACTGAGATCCTTTATTCAACCACTCTTGATGTTCTGTGCCAGTTTTCAATCACTGCTGGCAAGATCAGTCGTCTTTGTTTTACTTCTAATTAATATATCTTCACAATTAAGAGAGATTTGTTCACCTAGAGATTGGTGAATTTGTGGAATTCACTACAACAGTAAGTGGTTGAAGTCATAACATTGTGTTTTCCATAAGGAACTAGGTATAGCACTGGTGTCTAAAGGGCCAAGGGATATGGGGGAGGGTGGTATTAGGTTATTGAGTCTGATCATTACTGAATGGTGGAGTAGGCTCAAGGAGTCGAATGACCTACTTCTGCTGATATCTTTTATTTTTCTATCCTTATCTTTAAGGATCCATTGTACGTTTTCAAAAATAGCTTTTTCAATTTGTTCGCAAGATTTGCGCACATGAACACCCACTCAAGGTCTCATTTCAGTACACCTTTTAGAACAGGGATAAAGGTTGGAGAAGCTGAACAGTTCTAGTTTCTCATTGGAATTGCATAATTAATTCAGTTAAAATATTCTGTTCTCCACTTGACCGTGCAGCTTCTAAAGTTATGCATTCTATGAATAAATTTGATACCTGACATATTTTTAATTTCACTTATCTTCTGTATGTCTTCAACATCTTTTCTCATTGCATGCTGACTGCTTTGAGAATGATTTCTGTAATCTTTTGATTTTTGAGTGTTACTCAGTTTTTCCAATTTAAATCATTTACATTCATGTGTTGTACTGTACTACCAAGAATATGTAAATTAAGCATGGGGCAATATCTTACACATTAAGCCAAAGGATCTACAAAAATTGTCACTTGATAAAAGATATGTTTAGTTTAAATTTAATCATACTGAAAACTGATTTTTGAGGTATGCCTTGTATCATGTATTTGAAAATGATAGCTTTATAATGCTAAAGCTGAATCTGAAATAAATAGGATCAACAAAACGCTTGTGAAAATGTAAACAATAGCTAGATAATTGAATTCTGTGTATAACTTAAAATTCTGTTTTAGGAAAGCTTCAATAATGCTTCATATTCTTTAAATTTTTTTGGAGATTATTCATTAAAATAATGAGCCCTGAAAATCATTGCCAACTAATAAGCAAATGACATGATTATATTCAGTTTCATGAAAAGATTACACAAATATTTGATAGTTTAAGATCCATACATTTCCTTTCAATCAACTTGCTTATCAATCTGACCAGCAAGGATAGGTACAATTGAATCATTCATATATCTCACAATATTACATAGATATATAGCTCAGAAACAGGACATTCAGCCAACCAGTTCATGCCAATGTTGATGCTCCTCTTAAGTCTCCTCTCAAATTTTCTCGTATAAGTTTACCGATGTCACCACGTATTCATTTCTTGCTTATGTGCTTAGTTTTCCTTTAGATATTATACAATTTGTTTCAACAACTTTTAGCAAGTTCCAAGTTCTTACCATATTTTCATTCCTACTCTTGGTGAGAGATATTGCCATTTTGATGTCATTAGGGATTAGTCAAGGTTACCTTTATCCAACCACTCTTGACGTGCTGTGTCAGTTTTCAGTCACTGCTGGCAAGATCAATTGTCCTTGTTTTACTTCTAATTAATATATCTTCACAAATAAATGCTAAGTGTTTTTATTTTGAAAAGAACTCACAAATTTAATGAGATTTCCTTAGAGTAACAACAAATGAGAGCATGCTAAATTTAATGGGGGTTTTATGCTAAATGTAGTGCTGTAAAATGTTTAAAAGGAACTTGAATATTTGATTCCCAGAATAATATATGCTCACTTGTATACTTGTATCCTGTTTCTCATTAGCTACACCTCTTGTTGCGACCACGAGCTACTGCCGTCTCTGTCATGGAAGGTTTTCCTCCAGGAGTCTACGTAACGTTTTTGCAAAAGTTCCTTTGCTTGAGGCGAATCCAGAGAGGCAGCGCAGAGCACAACAGACTTTCTGTACTGATTTTCAGAAACTAGTTGGTGTTGTGGTAAGGCAGGATCCGTCTTTGCCACAGTATGTCTGCAGGAAGTGTCATGCTCAGTTTTACAAATGTCAGAGTATCTTGAGAAACTACATTCAAAGAGTGAATACTTCACCAGTAGCTTCTGTACAACGTGGACAAGAGTCTAGCAGGTATTTCAAGTCTCTAATTGAATGATTATTGTGTGCCCTACTGTCTAATGTTACCAAATTTACTATATTGTTTACTATAAATGCAATAAAACTAAATCCCTTTTTCTATTCAAAGCATAAATGCAAGATCAAAATTATCCAGGAATATTATTTAGCAACACTAAATCATCTTTTCGTCAATGTCTGATGATTTGTAGATGGCAAATAAATCTGTCTGGTTTGATATTGTAGAATATCTTGGAGAACTATTGAAAAATTGAATCCTTGATGATATTGTCCTTGCTTATCCACACAAGATATGCTAGAGGCACAACAGTTTGTGTCTTCCTTTGCGTTAGTTCTTTGAGATAGATTCTGAAGGGAAAGTCATACTTGAACAGCCTTCTCCATGTCCTGGAAGAATCATTATGAATATATGAGTAAGGAGCCAGAGCGGGCCTCTTGGCCCCTCAAGTCTACTCCATCTTCCAGTAAAATATCATGAATGATGTGTTCACTCCACCTTCCTATCTATCCCTAATAAGCTTTCACTCCCTTGCATCTAACCTATCCACTTCTGATATCTTCTATCTTCTTAAAAATGTTCAGGTCCCCTGTTTCCACTGCCTGTTGAGGGAGAGAGTTTCAACGACTCTTATCTCTTTGAGAGAAAAATATTCTCATCTCTGTCTTAAATGAATGATGTCTTATTTTGAGACACTGACCACTAGTTCTAGATTATTTCAAAGAAGAAACATTTTTTCCACAGCCACCATATAAAGACCCCTTAGAATCTATACGTTACAGTTATGTCACCTGTTACACTTCTGACCTCTAGTGGATACAAACTTAGCCTGTTCAACCTCTTATAAAACAACTCACCCTTTCCAGGTATTATTCTGTTAAACCACTAAACTGCTTCCAATGCATTTATATATTTCTTTAAATAAAATGACTAATACTACCACAATGCTCTGTATTGCGGAAATGTACCTCCCAGCTTTAGCATTCAATTTCTCATGCAGCAAATGATAACATTCTATTAGCTTTTGTAATTACTTGCTGCACCTGCATACTAATTGTGTGCTCTATATGCACTTTGACATCCAGATCCCTCTGCATATCAGAACTCCGCAATCTCTCACCATGTAAATATTTTGCTTCCTTTTTATTCTTCCCACTGAAATGGACAGTTTCACGTGTTTCCTTATTACACACCATTTGCCAAGTTTGTTCACCAAATCTACCTGTATCCTTTTATAGCCTCCCCATGTTCTCTTCCCAACTTACTTTCCCATGTATTTTTGTATCATCAAGTTTAGCAACTGTACCTTCAGTTCTATTACCTCAGTCATTAGTGTAAATTGTGAAAAGTTGAACTGCAGCACTGATCCCTGTGGCATACCACTGATTACATTGTGCTATAGAGAAAATGACCCATATGCGTCATTTCTCTGTTCCCTGTTAGCTAGCTAATATTCCATCCATGTCAATATGTTACATAAGTGAGCTGTAAAAAGCCATAGAACATGGTATGGCTAGACTTCCAAAGTGCAAAAGTTTACTAATTAATTTTAGAATTTGATTTAAAAACAAACCTTTAAGAACTGCCTCGAGCAATTGGCAACAAGGAGTATGTGAGTTATTTAGAGTAGGGATTCTCCAGGGATTGGCGCAGGAACCATTATTTTTTCTAATTTGTGTCAGCCTGATTCAGTGGTAGTAATCTTGCCACTGTCTAGGCTAGCAGGCTCACAGAAACTGGCATTTAATCCCAATTGACACTTCAGTGCAGTGCTGAAAGAATGCTGCACAGGTGTGAGCACTATCTTTCAGTTATGTTAAGCCATTGCTCCATCTAAAATCGATGTAAATGATTTCATGACCCTAATTCAAGAGATGGAGAGTTCTCTTGGTGCTTTTCATGACCTTGGCATGTTCCATAGCATTTTAAAACCAACAAAATATTTTTGAAGTGTTACAATGCAGGGCAATTTAGCAACTAATTTGTGCTTAATGCAGTTGTTCAAGCAGCTAAGAATTAAATGCCCAACTAATTGTTTTAATAGTTGAGGGACAAGTGTTGGTCCAGACAGCGAGTTGAACATGTGAATATTGCTATGGAATCTTTTCTATTTACCTGAAAGTGTATAGAACCGCAGTTTGATAACATTATGATCAACTGTATTTTGCGATTCTGATGGGTAGATGATAACAGTAAAACATGTCCCTCCTCATCCGAATTATGATGTAATTGGCCGGTCTGTCTTGTCATCATGTCATTCAATTGACTCCCTGATCTCCAATACGTTGAATTCAAAATCCTTATCCTCAGTTATAAAATCCTTTGTTGTTTTGCCTCAATCTGTGTCAACAACATTCTCCAGTCTCTGTTTTATGTGACCCCCTTTGTGTATTCTTTTTCTTTTTATATCACTCTTTCCCCAGATCATTGATTTCACCATCACCACTGATTCTCTTTGTCTTTCAAATTTTACCTCAAAACTAGTTTTCAATTAAGCTTTTGTTTCCCTTCTGTGAAACAGCTTGAAATGGTATCTTTGTTAATGGCATTCTGTAAATGCAAGTTGTTGTTTGGATTATATTTAGATTACAGTAAAATGGACAAATATAAAGTTATATTGCAGCATAATGTGGCCGAGGGAAAGTATTTCTTCCCCCCCAACCCTGAATGTACAGTACCAAGTTATAATGTTTACATTGGGTAGCCAGTTATCCTCCAGCAATTGTTGGGCTATTCAAATATAAAAGACTAGACATGTTGCAAACTGAACTGGGGTTTGCCATGACAGTTGAGCTGCAAACTGGCAGAGTGCTGGAGGAACATCCATCTATGATATAAACAGGTATTCCTATTCTGCAAACTAGCTTTTTTATATCTTTCAATTTTACTGGAGTAATGTCTGTTGTTTCAGTCTCAATTGGATATAATGCTTCTATTTTATTTTATTGTTGTAGATGTGCTGCAACAACAAAGTTATCATCAGTGCAATCACTTTCGCGATCACCATTAGACAGTTCTATCTCTGGTGAGTGAATCGTGGTATCAACTCTAATTCAGCTTACTGGATGTAAAACTATTTACATTTGAACAACAACAGCTTGCATTTATAAAGAGATAGCAAGAACTGCAGATGCTGGAGTCAGAGATAACACAGTGTGGAGCTGGAGGAACACAGCAGGCCAGGCAGCATCAGAGGAGCAGGAAAGTTGACATTTCAGGTTGGGACCCTTCTTCAGAAATCATTCATTTAAAAAACTTTTGACAGTGCAATGTCCCAATATCCCTTGGCACCCTTAAGTATCAAACATTCATTGACCTCAAAATTGAAAGTATCAAGTCAGTCAGCATTTACTGTCTTTTAGGGGAGGATTCCAACTATCTTGATTAAAAAGTGCTTTCACATTCGCTCCTGAATGGCCTAACATTAAATTTAAAATTATATCCTGTTGTTCTGTATTTCCCCAACTAAAAGATATAGGTTCTCTGTAGCTACCCTATTGAAATTTGAATAAGTTATACTTCTGATTCTGTCTTGTAAGTGTTGGAAAATGCATTTCCGAATGATAAAACTACTTGTAGGTTTGGCATGATGAAACAGCATATATTACTCAAGGCAAGAATTCTCAAATAGTTGAATGTTTCTTCACAATTTGAGCCATCACTGTCTCCATCCCTTCCCCTCCCCAACCAGGCTTGAAAAAGCATTTGCTATGGTTCTGCCCAGCTTTTCTTGAATGTTAACATGATTACAGAGATGTTCCGGATTTTTCCTTTTTTTAATTAATGTTTCAAACATCCCACATGCTACATTTGAGGCTTGTAGCAAAAATAAATAATTTCCTGTCATTTTTAATCAAGTGGTGACATTGTCTTCTCTTTCAATCCTTGTTCCTACCACTGGTTGTACTCAGAATTAATTTATGTAAACAACTTAGGGCAGACTGCAAATAAAAGTAAGATTCTGCAGATGCTGGAAATAATCAAATAAAACCACAAACTGCTGGAAATAGTCAGTTTAGCTGGCATCTTTAGAGACAGAAAGAGGCATTTTGTGTCTCCAGTTGTTAGGATGTGAAAAAATGATTGCAACTTGTAAGGCAAAGTGCCAGTCTGTCTGAGGAAAAAAAGTTAAACGGTTACTGCCTGCCAAGGTCGCAGGAATTGGTTTACTTTTACTAAGGATTTCTAGTGCAGGCTAGACTTGGGCAAACATGGATAATTTTGCATAGGTTATCAACTTATTGCACCCCAAGGACTGCAGCAGTTTAGGAATGCAGCCAGGAACTTGTCAGATTTTAGTTCTAATAATTTTCTTGGCACCTTTTCTCTAGTAATTGTAATTGTTTTAAATTCCTCTTTTTCATATTCTGATACACAGTTATTACTGACATGTTATTTGTGTCATGTATGGGTGAAGACAGACTCAAAATATCTCACAGAGACAACCAGCATAGAAACAGGCCCTTCGATCCACCATGTCTATGCTAACCAGCAAACACCAAACTACACTAATCCCATTCATCTGCACTTGGTCCAAAGCCTCCTATGCTCTAGCAATACAAGTACTCATCCAGATGTTTCTTAAATATTGCAAGAGTACCTGCCTCCACCACCCTCTCAGGCAGCACATTTCATATATCTACCACTCTGGGTGAAATAGAATTTTTCACAGAACTCCTCTAAACACTTGTTTAACATATACCTTTAACATATACCTTCTGGTCTGAGAAATGTCTGCTACAGGAAAGAGATTCTCACAATCTACTGTGTTTATGCCTCTCATAATTTTGTATACCTTAATCAGACCTCCCTCAGCCTCCTCTGCTCCAAGAAAAACAAACCCAGCTTATCCAGTCTCTCCTCATAACTGAGACTTTTCATCCCGGGCAACATTCTGGTGAATCTCCTTTGCTCCCTCTCCAGTGCAATCTCATCCTTGCAATATTGTGGTTACCAGAACCGCACATCCTTCATCAGTATTAGAACTGTGGCCTAACCAGTGATTTAAAGTTGTAACAAGACTTCTTTGCACATATATTTTACATCCCATATGCCACCTTCGGCCCCCCTCATTTACTGGTGCTGACACCTTCAGGGATCTATGGACTTGTACACCAAGGTCCTTTTGTTCCTCAGTACTACCTAGGAACCTACCATTCATTATGTATATTCTCTCCTTATTAGACCTCCCAAAATACATCACCTCGCATTTATCGGGATTAAATTCCACCTGCCGTTGCTCTGCTCACTTTACCAGGTGATCAGTATGAGCTTGCAGCCTGAGGCCATCCTCCTCACCATCAACAATACTGTCAATTTTCATGTCATCTGCAAACTTAGTAATTAAACCTTCCACGTTCACATTCAAGTCATTAATGTACATAACAAAAAGCAAGGTTCCCAACACTGATCGCTGTGGTACACTGCTGGTCATAGGCTTCCAATTACTAGATCTGTTCAAATTCATCTGCTATTTTCCTATTTTGCAGTTTTAATTTCCCCACACTGGCTCTCTAGAAAATCAGCACAAATCTTGTTTACTCTTTCCCTTTTTAAGTATTTGGAGAAACTTTTGCTGTCTTTTTACATTCCTAGCTGCCTTCTCCCTTATTAATATTTTAGTCATACTTTGCTGTTCTTAAATCTTGTCCAATCTTCTGACCAGCCTCTCATTTTAATGGAATTTTATGCCTTTTCTTTCAGTTTGATACTATGGCTAGTCCTTCACTTAGAATAATTCTTTCCCAATAGAATGTAACTTTTCTGAGTATTCTGACAGATCTTCTAAATATCATCTTCAATAGCTCTACTGACCTCTCCCTGAACTTAGTGTCCCAGTTCATTTTAGCTCAGCTTTCATATCCTTATAACTGCCTTGTTTAAGTATAAACCACTAATCTTAGAAACACTCCTCTCCCTCAAACTGAATGTTAAATTAAATCATGTTATGATCACTGCTATCTTGGGGAGCTTTTACTATGAGGTGATTAATTAATCTTGTAATAACTAATACACATTGAGAATGAAATCTGAATGAATTGTAATTTTCTTATACTTCCTGATATCTTCATCTTACGGAGGAATATCCATTTTGTTTGTTCAATTAGATTGATGCTTGAACGTTTAACTCGATGTACCATGATCATTAAAGATAGTGTATTGAAATGTGTTTCTAGTTTCATTCTGTTGTAAATTGTCTTATCATTTCTTTTATTTTTAGATTATTTTAAATGGATGCTAAATGATGGTGTAGTAAATGCAACCCCACAATGTTTGCAAGTTTTGGTCACTTGGGCTCACCGACATGGCAGCAGCTGTGGGTCCCTACCAAATGTACAGAGTGTCTTATCTGCTGAGTATCATGGAGTAGTTGGAGCTGTATGGGGGTGTCCAGAAGGACACAGTTACATCTTGGATGTGCATTCAAATCAGAAGGTTGCACTGAATGAGATGCCATGCCCACACATCAAGACTAATGATTCAATGAAAGAGAAAATTGTAGGAAACGTATTACCTATCCCACCTCAAAATGGAACAGGTGCTGAAAATGGTGAGAGTGGTCCAATCTGTAAACTTCAACCAGTTCCAGTATCACTGTGGTCATCTGACTCTCAGCCTTGTACATACAGTGGAGTAACTTCACAGCCAGTAGATGTGGACAATTCAGAATACCTGCTGAGCAAAGATATGTTTTTGCACATAGATCCTGAGAGTACTGAGTGCTGTTGGGAAAAGGCTCAGTTACAGGATGCTATGCAAGTATTAAATTCAAAAGGTGAGACGTATGTTATAATGTCAAATTATGAAATTGTATATATGGGGCATTGTATAATTGAAGCTGAATTTTTATAATGCAGTAGTGGGTGTTGTCAGAGGTGGAAAAGTTAAAGACCCTTATTTTTAGGTAATAGTTCTTTGCAGGTGTTGGGACTGCTGCACTATTGAGATCCTGCTTTTCAGGTAAGGTAGATTCTTGCTATATTGAAGAGAGGACAAATCAATAGTGTTGTGATCATTCAGCTTTATTGTTAAACTGGAAATGTCACTTCCTATTTTCAGAAATGTGGTCATTCAGTATAGAGTTCCAGTAATTTATTGGAAAATGCAAACTTAATACATCTCTTGTCCTGTGAATTTTGAGCTTATTGGAGCCCTATTAAAAAAAAAACATAAAAATAGTTTCTCTTATTAATAATGTAGTATCTGTGACAGAGTCTGTTTTAGGATAACTAAGAAATGAGAAGTGATTGTTGTGCGCCAGGAACAAAAGTACCACTAAAAACATGTAAAACTGAGGTTTTAGGGTCCACAATACTGGCCAAAGTTAGTGAACTGTTAAAAGGAGAAGTATAATTGGGGAGAGTCAATATGGATTTCTAAAACACTGGCTGTATTAGACTAATCTGGGAAAGAGGAGCTTCACTTATGAGGATAAGTTGAAGAAGTTTGGACTGTTCTCCTTGGAGAGAAGTAAGCTGAGACAGAGGTTTTCGAAATCGTGAGAGGGCTGGACCAGAGTGTTTAGGAAGAAGCTTTCTCCTGCTCATAAGAGAAAAAGAATTAGAGGATTTAGATTTAAAGTGATTTGCAAAAGAAGCAAGAGTGATGTGAGGAAAAAAAAACTACACGCAGCGAATAGTTAAGGTATAGAATGCACTGCCTGGAAATGTGGTGGAGGCAGGTTCAGTTGAAGCATTCAAGAGCACATAGGGCACATTTGGATAGAAATGATGTGCAGGGAGATGGGGAAAAGGCAGAAGTTTGGCAGATATGATGTAATAAGGAATTTAGCAAATGGAATTATTTTCTTTAAATTCTGTGACATTGTTAGTCTTTTCCAAACATTTGTGCCAAAATGGTAGAAGTGAATTGTCTCAAGAATAGCTTTAAGGATAACTATTTGAGAGATTACCTTCCTTCCTTGCATTTAAGAAACTAATTTTAAAATTAAAGTTTTTGTCACCAGGTACTGCAGTATCATAGTTCCTTGTTTTAGTGAACATTGTAGCCTAGGTAAAAGACATCTGCCTGCCTTAAATATGAACAGGATCCAAGGCTACAAGCTGGCTGCTGTGGTTTCAAGATATCACTAAAAGAGAGAAAGTATTACTATGTTTAGGTTATTATGATTAAAGAGAGTGAATATATAACCTTATTATTAACAAATACATTGTCTCTTCATAACCAGATCCATAATGGGAAAATAGTTTGTGCTGATTTAATTCTGTTCTGTGGTCATTGACTACCCATCCTGTCACTTTTTTTCACTTTTCGTATAGTAGATCAAATTGACTGCAACAAAGCTTCGTGTTCTATAAAGGATGATGTTGCAGATGGATTAGAATCTAGTGACCTCTCTGACAGGTAGGCCTTCATTACAGTTAGTGCTGTAGTATTTATGGCAGATCAATGCTTAATTGAAATATTTCAGGCAGGACCCCAGAATTAACTTTGTGATTTGATGCAATTAGGTAGTATGGCACAATCTCCAGAAAGTGATTTCGTATGGCTGTTTATTTGAATTCTAGACCATTTTAGAATGATATGATTTTATTTAAACTTTTTAAATTAATGGTAAACTTTTCTATTTAAGGCAGGTAATAGCTGAAATGTCCTATGACTCTATGACTTGATTTAAACCTCTTAAGTTACATGGCCCAAATAACATATCTATATTACCTTAATGTAGTGAATTCATAATAGTATTTACGGTATGATAGGTGAAATTATTGTACTTATTGAATTCAAGTAATAAGAAAATTATGTTGGATGTTTTAATGTCATTTTTTCTCATTTTACGTCCTCAGACTTTTGGTTTACATTGCACTGTTCCTGTTCCTCTGACTTGGAAACTCTCAAACAGCTGTACTTTTAAAAATCTGTTTGTTGTTCTTGATGTCCTCCCCAGTGCTCATTATTGCCATTTTCTTTTATTCCTGAATTTAATAGTTACATGTTCAGTATTGCTGAGCTTCAGTATTGCAGAATTTGGACTCATCAGGACAGATGCAAGAATACCAGTGTTCAAAGGGAGCAACAGTTTATACTGCAGGAGAAAAGGTTGCTAACTGGTGCCAAGTGGATTTTGGTCGAGGCACTGGCATGGAGACAACTGTCCTGTTCTTTTGTTTAATTCAAAAAAGATAAAATACATCATGTTCTTTCATCCTTCAAAGGATAGTTCTCCACTTATTGACACGCAGCTTCTGTGAAGTTGTAGTGAGCCAAATTGTGAGCCCAAATATTTATCTTTAATTGGCTGTTAGTGTAATTTTTGACCCACTGGGGGTTGTTCCGCAAGTGTTTTTCAATTGTGAAATCGTATCTAATGTTAGTCACTATGTTCTGAGTTATGTAAGTACAGGGTGGTTAAATACATTTTCTATTCTGCCTACTTCGAACAGCTGAAGGGACTTATCATTTGATACAATCTGGCAGTCAAAGGGATGTACGGCATTCGTACTTGACAACACACCAGCACTGACATTTGTATAGTATATTATTCATTTATGTGGAAAAGAGAAAGTCTTTTTGACTTGACAGCAACAAAGTATCTTGTTAGTGGAAAATAGCAGCATTTGTATTGCTACTGCATGGTAGCAGTGTGTAATGAATGGCTTCGCCTGTTGATCAAAGTTTTGAGATATTTTACCCTTTCATGGTAATTTGAGATAATTTGCTCTAATTCAACATCAAGCTTGCACAATGAGCCTTTGCTTGGGTTTGTCGGATGACTCGGGCTTGCTTGAACCTACATATATTGATATGCAGGAAACAAAATAACATGTCTAGGCATTGGAGCTTTTTGAATCAAACAATGGGGACAGTAGTTCCTTGCTACGTTCTCCATGGCCAGTCTGAGTCAACTTGCCAACCAGTCAGCATCAGTTTCTCAGTACAAATTGTTGCCCTGTTTGAAATGTAACAATTGTATGACTATTGATGTGTGTGAAATTAAATGCTTCACCAGCCTGGCTCTTATTATTTCATCTGTTCTACCAAGCAACAAATTCAACTTCCTTGTTCTGAGATCCAATAAATTGAGCAGTGATTAGAAGTTCTAGTCTTAAGGCTGTTTTAATATACAGGTTCTCATTTGGGCACTTAGAAGAAACAGCATGTAGAAGTAAGGTCACCCATTGAACATTGAGGGGAATATGAGGGGATATAAGGAAATAGAAGATGCCATTCTTCTACAACAACAACAAAAACAAAGTTGCTGGAAAAGCTCAGCAGGTCTGGCAGCATCTGTGAAGGAGAAAACAGAGTTAACATTTCGGGTCCAGTGACCCTTCCTCAGAACCGAGGAAAGGTCACTGGACCCGAAACGTTAACTCTGTTTTCTCCTTCACAGATGCTGCCAGACCTGCTGAGCTTTTCCAGCAACTTTGTTTTTGTTCCTGATTTACAGCATCTGCAGTTCTTTTGGTTTTTATGCCATTCTTCTATTTCCTTATACTGTCAACTATATTGTTTTAAGGGTGCTAATGAATCTTATTTGTTCTATCTTTATAGGTACTTGTCAAGTGAAGATGATGGGGAAGAAAAAGTTAAGAATGGGTCTTCAGATGAGTCTTTCCAGCCATATTGGGAGAAGAAGTGAGTCCTAACGAATGTTGCCTTTTTTTCTTTTAATGGAACAAACTGGCTTTAATTTCAACATAGGAGCTTCATTTCACTATCGATTGTTGTAATCCTACTTGATTAGAACCGGTCCTTTGGGATAAAGTGTTTTTACCTGTTCAGTCAGCATTCCTATAGATTTGGTACAGATATCAACTGAACCATCTGTTTTATTTGGTTCATCATAAAAAGACTGTATTTATCATTTTTGTTTACATTTGATTTTGGCCAAAAAGCTGAGCTGAGAACTTGAGTTCAGCTTTTCTTGCCTCCTATAACATTCTAGCTCTGAGTAATTGATACACTAATTAATTTAGTGTGATTTCACTATTTCAGTTATTGCCTAGAAAACAGGAGATAGAACGCTGAGCTCATTCACATTAAAAATGTTCACAGTCTGCTTATAAATAATGATTTGTTTGGTATATTGTCAATAGAATTATAATATTAGTGATTCTACCATGAAAAATACAAAAGGAAAGCCATTCATTCAAATATAAACTCTATCAAAAGTACAACCTCAGTTTCTAGTTTATTTTTGTATAAATTGCATTTTGTAATTTGTTGAAGTTTACATTATAATGAAATTATATCTTTATAACTTTGTTAGAGCATTTGCTTTTTATGTTCTGCTGTATTAAAAGTAAAGGAATGTTTTAAAATTGGATAAGGTCAGTAGGCTTTAACTGGACTGTGGTTTTTTTTGTACTGTACTGGAACAAGAGATGGATTTCTCCTGAAGAGGACAGATGAGGTTATTATTACATGTGAATCTTTGTAAGAAACCGAATTTAGCAATGATATCTGTTGAAATAATCCATTCCTGTAATGGAATTTTTATTAAGTTTTGCCACAGATGGTATAAATTGAATATCATCATCACAAAGCTTAATGCGTGTGGCTGAGCCATATTACCTTTGGTATAGAAATTGAAGGTAATGTCATAGATAGAGCTTGCCAACAGTTAAAGATTACATTTTCTCATTTGCTGCAGATTATTTTGCATCAGCCAGTATACTTGGGTACAGTGATCCTGACGCCACATGACTTTTATATTCAGAGTCGAAGACTTTATTTTTTTTTTTAAAATGTGTTTAACCAGTTTCCTATCTGTAATACATAGAAGGTACACAGATAACTGTTTACAAATGTGAGCTTTTTGGTCAACTTACAAACTTTACAAGCTTGGTTTAGTTTTACATTTTCCAAACGATCAGTGAATTAGATTATATTTCCCTTTTCAGTAAATTACCAGCTACGAAATGTGATAGTAAAGAAGTGAAGAAAACTCCAGGACAAAGGCGTATGCGAAAATCAAAGTCAAACTGTGAAAGGTACTTAGAGTAATTCTTCTGGGGAGTAAAAGTAGTTAAATAATGTTCTGTTTCACTGTAAATGTCTGTTTTTTAAAAGTATCAGAAGCAGCAATCTTCACAGAATTATTTTGGAGCTAAGAAGACCAGTTGTCCACGTGCACATTACTACTCAGTGCATCTCCAGATATTTCCCTTCAGTATCTCTTCAAATAATTGTCTAATGCCTTCTTATATGCCTTGATTAAATCTACCCTTACCATACTTCCAGGCAGCGTGTACCAGACCCTAACTATTTGCTATGTGAAACAGAATCTTTTGGCACAGAAAGTCAATTATATAATTTGTTTGGTCTGTGGTTGGATTAGGCAAGAAATTGATTGGTTTCAATAAATTTATAATGTTAATTATTAGTATTTATTAATTCTAAGGTTGTAACTTATTTTAATCTGTTAGAGTAACAATACTTGTAGAAGATATATTAAGGTTGCTCAATGTTGAGTCGTATACTTTGAAGATAACCATTTTATCTAGTTTTCTGGTTTTTGGGGGCCAAAACAAGCATGATGCATTGAAGGAGGAAGTAAGTTAAATCAAGAAAGGCTTGAAATATTTCCTACACTCATTTGTATGGCTGCATTACAAATAATTATTAGCTAATACTTTCAGGATTATTCCAATATGCTGCAAGAAATACAACTTCTGAGATAAGTATGTGGGGAAAGTCCCCAAGTCAGTTCTAACTGATCTCATTGGTAATTTTTTTGAAATGTAAGAACCCTGGATGTGTTTAATATTGACTCACTTAAATTTCATTTTAACACTGTCAATAAAGTAGTGTCTATTTAGCATTGCTGGTTTTACTTTTTATGTAATTTGCCACAGAATTACTCATCTGTACTCTTCCCGTGCACATGACCTTTGCCATAGTGATGCTTTCCTGTTGTCATTCACTCTTAATCCCCCTCTGATGCTGTCACACTTGTATCCCACCCTAGATTCCCCTATCCCTATTTTCCACACTGTTCTTACCAGAGTCCCCAGCGTCTGTTCTTAAGCTGCTGTTCTGGCTCCTAGCATCTGGCTGTTGTTCTGAAGTCACACTGAACTCCTGTCCTCCATCCAGTAGAAGTTGATTGGTGCAAACCGTACAGGGATTTCAGCAATTAGCTGCACCCATCAACTTCAGCAGTTGGATCAACCAGTATTTGGAGCCTAGTTAATCAAAAGTAGCGTACTGGAGGTGAATATAATTTTTACAAACACTTTATTGTATTTTGAATAATATATTTATTTAATATTTACTGATGTTTTTGTTATTTTAGCTTGTAATGCACAGTGCTGCAGATGTATGGTACAAGAATTCAACTTATACATTGGTTTCTCTGGACGAGAAATATCCAAAGGAACCTAACCATGGCATTAACGTTGATTTCAATGGGTGCCTAGGAACACAGCCAAAACTTTGACAGAGTTTCCCATATGGTTACAGGATACGGAATCTGTGTAACCTTGTGGCATTTATTTGGTGTTTTTTCAGAGAAGATTTTCCCACCATGCACCGATGTCAGTACAAGGGCTGCTGTGCAGTATATAGAGGAGCTGATGGATTGAAGGTAAAATTATGCTCAGGACATTATCCTCAAGACTAATTGGTCAACCACAAAATTTAAAACTTTAGGCTTTTTGAGTATCAGCTTAGCTCAACTACCTCTTGACTTTAGGACTATGATTTTGCACCCTACGCTATGTTTAATTAAAAACACTAATTTTTTTTAGTTGTAAAAGTTCACACTGACAAAAATAGCATAATTCTGCTTATCTTTTGAGAAATCAACATTAGTAGTATGTAAAGTTCTGCACCCTCAGTTACAATATCAAGTCTCAGAGTAATGGTGCTCTGTGTTTGGGTACTATACATACTAAATATAAGGTGTACAGATATTAAGGAGAGTTCATCGTGCCATTTTGCTGCTAGCTGATGTTCATGTATTCTGATGGCTAGTTTCCTTTCTGTCTGTCCGATCATCAGCTAGCAGCAGAACGGCTCCTTAATATCTGTACATTCAGACAATGAAGGCCATCAGTTTAACTGGGACAAAGTAACCATAGTAGCCCAAGCCAAACATAGACACACACGGGAATTCCTAGAGGCATGGTTCTCCACCTATAATGCAATCAACAAACATATAGAATTGGACCCCATATATAAACCCATACAGATCAAAACCGGAAATGACAGTACTCACCATAACGGATCGGACAGTATAAATTCCAAACGGAGGAGTAGAATAACATCGCTTCATCAGAGGCTCCACTGATGATGTTACCGAGTATGGTGATGAAACGTCTGAACAAAAACAAGCCAGTTTGGCG